AAGACCCTTATTCATTGTCTGGTGTTGTTTAAAGCCCTTTGAAGCTGCACTGAAACTCTCATTTGGACCTTAAACCGTTTGGTTCCCATTGAAGTCCATTATATGGAGAAAATCCTGGAATGTTTTCATCAAAAACCTTAATTTCTTTTCAACTGAAGAAAGAAAGACGTGGACATCTTGGATGACATGGGGGTGAGTAAATTATCAGCAAAAGTTTTTTTTTAAAGTGAACTACTCCTTTAAATATAAAGACCTATTCAAGTAGACCCAAAATAACAAAATTAAGTCTTTGCAAAAGGGCATAACGAGGGCTTGGAACCAGAGGGGCGTAAGTGACATTTTGGGCGAATATGAGTTCTTTATATCAAAATAAAGGTCTCAATGAGCTCTATCCAATGGTGCCAAAAATACCTATCTGAGATCAAACTGAATTGAATAAAGCAACAAAAGGTGTATCTGACATATTTGAATTTTTTTATTTGAAAATGTTTAAGAACATGTTCATTGTGTTAATATGCCATACATTTTTTTGTTTACTTAAATACTCATTCATGTAAGTATGTCTGTGGTTGCAATGTTTGTGGTTTAAGATTAATAATACAGGTGATTGAAGTGTGGTCAAAATTTTGTTTTGTCTCTCCTGTAAAGCCACTCACGCCCCTCTAGCTCCAAGTCCTCGATAATATGTCCTCCCTAAACATGACAACTGCATCAATACAAGTTGTATTGTGTCTATTATCATCACTATTCTCTCCCATGGGAACCAAACAAAGAGAGTTGTATCTCAGTAACGATAGTAGCAATTACTCCATTGTTTTCAGCTTGTTTGGCAAGTAATTCCTGATTCGTAGATATTAGCATATAATCCTCAGGGATTTAAGCTGTTCATGTTCAATGAAAGAAACTGAAAATATGTTTAAACATGTTTATTTTTACAAGTAATCTATTATACAATAGTTTATATGCAGGATCACGTCACTGAATAACACACTAACCTGACAGGAAGCAAGCGGTACACAGCAGGAATTGTGTTTTTATCCAGCTTATACCATGTCTGCAAGAGACTCGAATCCTGGTCGTAGTCCATCCAGGTCCGGGCCAGCTGTGTCTCGTCTCCATCCGACATGGAACAGCTGGAGATGGAGTTCTCACTCATGACAGCAGAGCTTTGGAAAGCTTCCCTCTCCTCCGACAAAATGAGTTCCTTATCAAGTACAAAACTCCTGCTGTCACCAGTGCCAATACTGGATTGTGAGTCAACAGCCATGTCTGACTGTCTCCTGGACAGCTTCTTCTTGCTTCTCTCTACCAGTTTTAAAATCGCTTCAAAATCTGCTTGGGGAATGGTATTCGGCAGTGACCGTATCTCATGCTTCTGTCCAGTGAACACCTACAAGACAAGCAAAAATACTTAGAAGTCCTCCTGTGGTGAAAATCAAGCTTTTAGCGTTGTTTATACACTCACCTAAAGGATTATTAGGAACACCTGTTCAATTTCTCATTAATACAATTATCTAATCAACCAATCACATGGCAGATGCTTCAATGCGTTTAAGGGTGTGGTCCTGGTCAAGACAATCTCCTGAACTCCAAACTGAATGTCAGAATGGGAAAGAAAAGTGATTTAAGCAATTTTGAGCGTGGCATGGTTGTTGGTGCCAGACGGGCCGGTCTGAGTATTTCACAATCTGCTCAGTTACTGGGATTTTCCCGCACAGCCATTTCTAGGGTTTACAAAGAATGGTGTGAAAAGGAAAAAAACGAAAATGAAAATGGGCGAAAATGCCTTGTTGATGCTAGAGGTCAGAGGAGAATAGACCGACTGATTCAAGCTGATAGAAGAGCAACTTTGACTGAAATAACCACTCGTTACAACCGAGGTATGCAGCAAAGCATTTGTGAAGCCACAACACACACAACCTTGAGGCGGATGGGCTACAACAGCAGAAGACCCCACCGGGTAACACTCATCTCCACTACAAATAGGAAAAAGAGGCTACGATTCGCAAGAGAGAGTCAGATATTGGTAGAGTCAGAATTTGTCGTAAACAGAATGAGAACATGGATCCCTGATGCCTTGTTCCCACTGTGCAGGCTGGTGGTGGTGGTTTAATGGTGTGGGGGATGTTTTCTTGGCACACTTTAGGCCCCTTAGTGCCAATTGGGCATCGTTTAAATGCCACGGCCTACCTGAGCATTGTTTCTGACCATGTCCATCCCTTTATGGCCACCATGTCCCCATCCTCTGATGGCTACTTCCAGCAGGATAATGCACCATGTCACAAAGCTTGAATCATTTCAAATTGGTTTCTTGAACATGACAATGAGTTGACTGTACTAAAATGGCCCCCACAGTCACCAGATCTCAACCCAATAGAGCATCTTTGGGATGTGGTGGAACGGGAGCTTCGTGCCCTGGATGTGCATCCCACAAATCAAATCTCCATCAACTGCGAGATGCTATCCTATCAATATCGGCCAACATTTCTAAAGAATGCTTTCGGCACCTTGTTGAATCAATGCCACGTAGAAATAAAGGTATAGCGGAGGATTTTCTTTTTCCGGGTGGGTAGTCTATACTATTGGTCCACCTAAGTGTCAATCATTCTGGTGATATGTTTACGTAAGGCCGTCGTACGTGCTCATCCCTATGTAGTTTTCACTTTCAGGTGTATTATGTCGGAGTTGCGGTTTCAGCCATTCCTTTGAAAATGGCTGAGGGTCGAAAGAGAAAAAATGTATACGAAGTGTATGATAAGAAGAGAAAGGCCACAGAATATAGAAACAAGACCAGAGAGATTTTGGGTTAATATCACACGCTGGCGTGCGCTAAAAGCACAGGTTGGGCTTCTCACTGATGCCGCAGTCGCAAAGATTCTACTAGACAGGTAAAGTTTGTCACGCTATTTGGAGAAATCCATTTAAAATCACTAGTAAAAGTTAATGCAAGCTACTTAGCAATGCTAGCCCTGGCACAAGTCATGCACCGCATAGACACGGTAAACATCTCAATTTGTCTAAAGTAGCCTTTTGACCAAATGATAAATGGTATCACGCTGAAATATTCTAAAACCTTGTGTGTTCATGTGTTCATATTCTAAAACCTTGTGTGTTTATTATTACACAAATGCAACAAGCTATTTCTCCATTAGAATAATTAGAATAAAAATAACGTATTATTAACAATGAGAGATATTAGGTTAAGGACCAACGTAATAGCACTGCTTATATGTTGCCATGTAACGTAATTGCGATTTGCAAAATAGTTTCCTCAGAACGTATTTCGTGTGATACAGGGTTGCACATATCATGTCTTGAGTCCTCCGTCACTCAATCGATCAGTATAATAAGTAAATAAAACACGGAAGGGCATTTGACATGTTGTCTTTTTTATGAATGTTTTTGAGTTAGTTTATAATTTGCAACATAATTGTGTAAGGCGTAATAGACGTTCCCTCTCGGGAGCAAGAGTGTGTTTGTCCATGTGCATTTTTTTTTAAAATTGGGCGGGTCTTCTCTAAAATTTGGAAAGATCCTCCGCTATACCTTTAAGGCAGTTCTGAAGGCCAAAAGGAGTCAAACACAGTATTAGTATGGTGTTCCTAATAATCCTTTAGGTGAGTGTATGTCTATGTGGCCTTTTTAATATTCTTTAAGACGAACCATGAGCAAATTCATTGGTCAACACCATTGCTGAGTATTTTCTCCTTAAAACTACAGTGAACCAAAAACGCTCTTTGAAATCGCTGGTGTTTCTGACGTCACAAACTACCCTGTAGTTCAACATGTGATCGTCAACAATTGGATCTCTGAGCTGGTGTGAGTGAGTGGAGACGGGGATCATGAATACTAAATGAGGCAAGGGTGTAGAGTTATATTCAAACTATTTTAAGGCATGAAGGAAAAAACTTTTAAATATGTCATTTTGGTGATCAAAGATGAGTTTTAACGGACAGGGGGACTTTATATACTGATAACAAATACTATTTTTTCCCCCCATGAGACTCTTGGAATGTAAATAAACAACTCATCTTACAAAAAAGTTTGGCCCCTCGGTCTCTTGACAACGCCTAAGTGTCTCCATGTGCATCTCTGCCAAATCATGATGGTCCGAAACCGGATCTCCGAGTCCTGCACGCAAGTCTATCATCCTGAAATCATATCCTCTCTGCTTACAGTGTAGATACAGCCGAGGATACACACTCTCCATCAGTGCGCTGCGCTCTGGGACGGTATCTACACACACAACGTAGTTTATGTGTAGATTTAATTTGAATTATATATTTATTCAACAAGAATGCATTAAATTGGTTGATAGTTACAGTAAAGACATTCGTAATGCAATTAAAATAGATTTATATTTTCAATAAATGCTGTTCTGTTTAACTTTCTATTAATCAAATGATCAACATTAATAATAATAAAAATGAAATACTGTTTTTAGCATAAGACTTAAAAAAAAAAACTAAATTAATTTTATACCTTTGTATCCACCACACAGATAGATCATGAATCTCCTCTCTTTAATATGAAAGGATGAAACACTGTCGTCGTTTAAAGTGTTCGGAGAAGAATGATGTTGCACTTTTGGATCTCTTTCATCAAATCGTTGTTTGTCATGAACATCGACGGCTCTAAACGGTCCCTCAGACAGCGATCCCTGGCCGTCCGGGGCCTCGTCCGTACACGAAGATGCGTTTTGAACAATTACTCCTCCCTCTTTCCTTTCTTCGTCCTCATCATCCTCTTTTTCTTCCTTCTCGTTCTCTTCAAGTGGCACAAGACTCTGCAGAAGGACATGAAAAGAGTCAAATATAATGTCATGCCTACATAAATCTCTGTGATTAGAATAATAAATGCTTAAAACAGCAACACATCACACTAACCTTGAAGAAAACTGTTTTTGTTTTCTGAAAAACGACATCTCCTTTCTCCTCAAGAGATGAATCCTGAGTGTTTCTATTTGAGTGGCGCTGATGCAAATGGTACTAGGCAAAGAAATGACCCAAAACTTAATAATTATTTGTTGGAGATGAAAAATCATTCATTTTTCAAACTTACTTTAAGGTGTGCTGTGATTTCCAGCTCTGTTTCCACACTCACTCTGGATAATGGAACAAGCTGGTGGCCTATACTGTTTTTCTATTCCATATTAAAGAGAATCATTAGCACATAAATCTTACAACATACACATATAGGATGTATTGGAACTGGAATTCCACACACACACACCTTCTTCCTGACGGTTCTGTGTCGGGACACGTGATGATCCCTCAGATCCTCGGAGAAGAACAGCTCCTGTAGTCTCCGGGCTGTGGTTTGGCCTTTGGTGTGGGGATCCTGAACAAGTCATGCATCTTAAATGAGGGAGCAACAAAGTGTGCAACACAAACAGCTCAAATGTTTGGCTTCCCCCCCAAGTAACACAAGAAGCGGAATTAGCAACCCTAAATTAACAGATTGTGTTACGAAGCCTTCCACTGCGGAAGAAGAAAACTGTCACAACTGCAGGGGATTTGTTCATTAATAAATAAAATAAGTACACACACAAAAAAAAACATTATCCATTGAAAAAGCTTACCAATATTGCTGACTTTCCGTTGGAAATGGGAGGAAGGTTGACCACTTCATTTTCCTGTTCAGTTATATGACAGTATGAGGCATATGAGAGTTGACTGTGTCTGTGTCTATTTATTTGAATAAGTAACGAGATTATGCACTTTTAATGCTTTTAAATCAAAAGTTTAGCTATCAAACAAACAAATTACTCATCCGTTTTACAATATTGCACATTTACAACACATTTAAGAGAAGACTTCTTATAAATATACTGTCTGTAAAAGTATAAAATATATTGAGTTGAAAATAGGCTTCAATCTCTTACCGATTTCTGATTATTTTTTTTCGGTACAACTCCATTTCTGTAATATGTCCACATAGCACCGGACAGCAGACTTCAGACACCGGACGTCTGTTCTTCATATAAAAAGAACAGCCAATCGGCCTAAGTTGCATCCATTTACTGCGGTCACTAATATGTCTTCTTTAAATTCCGCTTATGTCACCTAATAAATATGAACCAAGATCGTTCATTCACTCAACGAAAGATAAGGGCGCGTTATTCATTCACGCACAATCACCGCTAGATGACGCTCTGTGTGTGTTATATTCATATTACACACTGTCATGGGAACGCTGCTGTCAAACTTTTTTGTGATGTATGGACTAGCTACTGATGTTTTGGAGTAACTATGCCCTCTACTGGTAATCTACATTGAGCTCAGTTCAAAAGTCAGTTAAAATAATGATGTGATTACACAGCAGACGCCTGTGTTGCGTTGTTTTTTATCTGCCAGCAGACACGACGTTTAAAAATATGGAATAGCTTTGTATTTGATTTTTTTTGTACTTTTATCTGTTATCTTTTATTTTATATTCTATTGGCTATATATAATTATTTCGTAGTTCTAAATATTTTCACCTTTATCTTTATACATGTGACTTAGATTTATTTCAGTATTTGTTTATTTATTATTTCCTTAACTGTATTTTTAATATAATAATTATTATTAATTTATTATTTAAAATTAATTTTAAATTAATTATTATAAATTTTATATATATATATATATATATATATATATATATATATATATATATAGACAAATAAAGAAACAAAGTAAAATCCTGAAAAAAATATATGATAGCTTTCTATCGTTCTATGCTGAACTCAATATCCCACAATGCTTTGCGGCGGTGTTGTTATTGTGTCGTGCAGACATGGCGGCGCTGTCAGTCAGTTCCTCTGAGTGCTGCTGCACACTCAAAAAGACCTTAAAAAGATTACTATCCAACACGTCTGCCTCCCCCCGAGCACGAACCCGCTCGGAACCGCTTTACGTGATCTCTCTGGAGCGCTACGGCAGAGACGCAGACTTCGGCGTCAGTTTCCCGGACAGTATTTCGATGTCAGAGAGTCTGTTTGACGCCACTATCACGGATGGAGACTGTAAGATTCGCGTGTCTCTGGATCCCGCAGTAAACAGACTCATCAGCCTAAACAAACTTCACTGCGGGTCCGTCGTACGGAGTGTGGAGTTCAGCCGCGGGGAAGACGGCGGCTCTTTCCATGTGTGCAGCCTGGAGGTGGACCGACTCTCCGGAGGGGACGCGGCTCTTCGGACGCTCTCCTCCGTCAACGTGAGGTCCATTCCGTGGATGGGAACCGAGCCGAGCACGCACCCGCTCAGAGCCCGCAGAAGCTCATACCTACCGCTGTGGAATAACCGCGACTTCTATGGAGAGATGTGGCGGGACACGATCCCCTCTGAACCCGACGCTGAGGACTCTGGAGAGGACATAGATGGTGTGTGTTCAGTGTTCATAAGGCTGTAAGCTGTGCCTACATAGGCAGCATTTGAGGGAATCACTCTCTTGTAAATGATAAACATTTAACTTGGGCACCATAGTGCATACCTTGACCTTCTAAACTACTTAACACTTTTATTGGGTTCAAATTCCCTAATTGGATTCAATAAGAGTAAATCTTTAACATTATAGGGAAAGTTCTACCAAAAATGAAAATTCTGTCATAATTTACTCACACTCAATTTGTTCCAAACCTGAATTTCTTTCTTCGGTTGGACACAAAAGAAGACATTTTGAAGAATATGGGCAACCAAAACATTTCTCATCCCATTGACTTAATAATATGTGGGAAAACCCCCCACTATGGAAGTCAAAGGGGCCAATCAATCAACTGTTTGTGTCCCCTTATTCTTCAAAATATCTTTTGTGTTCAATAGAAGACAAACAAATTTGGTGACCATTGACTTCCATTGTGTGAAAAAAAGACTGAGATATTTCTTAAAATATATTCTGTTCCACAGAAGAAAGAAAGAAATGCAGAAAGGTATGAATCAGTGTGAGGGTGAGTAAATAATGACAGAAGTTTTGAGAAAACATTTCTTTTATCACCACATATCCGGCACAAAAATGTCATCCAGATAGGCATCTCAACCTCTTGTATGATGATATGTTGGTGTTCATGCATATGCTTTTGTGTCTGGCGGCAGATATCGGGTCCACAGTTTCACTCGCAGAAGTACGTCGGCGTTTCTTGAGTGGATCTCGCCGGTTCCGGGGCGCCCTGTGTGTGCGGATCCTTCACAAATCCAGACTGATATATTATGGGAAAGCAGATCAGAATTGTGAATGTCCCTATAAGGTCAGAGGTCAAATACAAGACTTTCTATAGGGACTTGGTCATATTAAAATATGTAATAAGATAAATATTGTTTTTAACATATGTTTTAGATTCTGAAAGAATTGAAGTTGCTTTGGTGAGAAAGAATCTAGAGAAAGAACTAGAGATGGAATATATCACGATTCTGGACCATATCGGCTCATAATAGTGATTTTATTGTATTGTTCGTCATCAATTTAAATTTTGGCACTTGCTTCCACCGGCAAAGATTTGAAGATCAAGGTTTTAATGTTGTTTATGTCTATGTGGTGTTTTTTTTTTAATATGCTTTAAGACAAACCATGCGCATATTCATCAGTCAACACCATTTCGGAGTATTTTCTCCTTAAAACTGCAGTGAACCAAAGAGGCGGGTCTAATTTGCATATTCATAGAACCACATATACTAAACAAGGCAAGGGTGTAGAGTTACATTCAAGCTATTTTATGGCATGAAGAATTTTTCAGCAAGGAAAAAAAACGTTTAAATATGTCATTTTGGTGATCAAAGATGAATTTTAAGGGATACAATTATTGACTACAGGGGGACTTTAACTATATTTCTTTAAAAGCCTTTCTCAGGAATTTCTCATCCGATCATTCAACTTTCCCATCAACTGTTTTTTCTAAAAAAAAAAAAAAAAAAAAAATTCTCACTATAGGTCATATTAAGCAATGACTGACATTACTTAAAGGTGCACTGTGTAATATTTAGGAGGATCTGTTGACAGAAATGCTATGTTTTCAGTGGTGTACCCTTACATAATGAACCATTATGTTTTTATTACCTTAGAATGATCAGTTTCTATGTACATACACCGCGGTTCCCCTTACATGTTAAGTCGCCATTTTGCGCCACAATGTTTATACAGTAGCTCTAAACAGACTAACGTGTTTCGTCACTATGTTGTTCTTCTGGCAAATAATCTTCCTAAAGTAGAGAATAAATCACTGACACAATAATGAACAAGTGACAATAAAATTTGCAATAACATTTCGTTTTACTGTATAATTAAGTAAACATAATTTCTAGGGCTGTCAACTTTAGTCGTTTAGTCGACTAATCGGTCGATGCCGTCTTGGTCGACTGACATTCTTATTGGTCGACCAGTTGCATTTTTTTTTTTTTTTTTAACCAATAGAAAGAATTTTTCAATGATTTACTCCTTGATATTTATTCATTTATAAGCAGTTATTTATTACTGTATTCTAAATATAATTAGCCTATGTTTTGTCCCCAACTTTAAAATGCTTTAATTTAGGCTATTTTTGTAACTGCGCCACAGTTTAGCGCACACACATAATACACTCGGGAACCGTACCTGTGGCCGGCTGCGCTGCTGCTCGCGCACGGTAAGGGATGCTGTATTAATTCAGTTAGAACGCTGCTTGTTTTGGCTTTAGTCGACAAAATGTCCAGGAAATCTAAATCTTTTGTCTGGCTGCATTTTAAAACAAAGACGGCAAGACTGTGGAGGGAGGCGATCGCGTTGCTCCATTATGAGCGCGCAAGTCGTGCGCCTACATTTGAAATCGAACTTGAGCGCGCAAAAGACGCGAGCAGCCTTTTAACGGCTATATCATGCTGACTCAATAGTGTTTTCTTAATGTTTTCGTATTTATTTGTACACTTGACGCATTTGAAAATAGCCTAAATAATGCAACAAAACGAAGATAAACCTATACGTGGTCCTACAGCCTATTGTTTTTAAGTTATTTGGGTTTTTTGTGTGTTGTTTAAAACGCCTTGATCGTCAGGACTAAAGTTAACCCATAGCTTTGAAAGTAGGCTAAAGAAGAATATAAAGCCTGTATAAACGAGAGCTTTTGTTGGTATTTTTCATTATGTGGCAGATAGCAGTTATATTTTTTGCGTGGTCAGGTGCGCGATTGTGACTGTTACTATAGACCTAGGACAGAGCACTTCACTTTTTGCAGTTAAAAAATCACTTAATTTTCAAATAATTGTATTATTATTATAGTTTTATTTATTTGTGATGTTTTTTCGTTGTTGTTTTATAAATGGTCAATGACAATTGTTTAAAAAATGTTTAATCAAAAAATCACGTTTTTTTTTTTTAGTCGACTAATCGTTGTGCAGGACTCGACTTTGGTCGACTAAGGATTTCTTTGGTTGAATACAGCCCTAATAATTTCTTACTTCATCTTTGTAAAGAAACCTCATTGCTTAACTGGCTACTCTCTGCTGTCTCAGACGACGTCATCTTTTCCTGTCGGCCACTGTTACGTCTGTTGTTTGCAATTCGCAACATGACCACTAGATGCCGCTAAAAATTACACACTGCACCTTTAAGTATCACAACATTGAAAGTAACTCCTTCCATCAATCTGTTTTTTCTCAGGCAGAGTTGCAGGTCGGTGATGGCTCATCCACCGCTTGTGTTGTACTGTGGAACACAGTCTGTATGGAATGGTACCGAATCCTACATCCGGGTCAAGTTGTAAGATTGCGTCACTACAGAGTCAAGGAGAGTTACGGCAACCGCACGGGGCAGGAATCAGAGCCACACATTGGTAGGGAGAATTATAGCCATCTTACATTTGAAGTCATAACATATACAGTCATGTGAATAAGAAAGTATTCCATGAACACTTTGAAATCTGTGCTTTTGTATTACGACATAACAAAAAGTTGTGTGGTCTTTAGCAGGTCTTAAAATTACAACCTCAGATGAATAGCAACACTCGACAAACAGTTTTACACCGCTTCAACAAAAATAAAGCCAAAATGGAATCTATGTGTGAAAAACTAAGATTCACTTTTAGCATCAATAAGTTGAAGTAATCATTTTGAGACGAGTCATACCAAAACGCTTCCTAATACTAAGTGTAAACAGGGCCCATATTTGTTCTCTTGGACTCTTCCATCATCTGTTCCTCCTTTAGAGATCAGTCTTAATTCCAGGAACCCCACTGCTCAAATTACTATCATCCCCAAGAACCAGATTTCTCCAGATTGGGTTTTGCCAAACCTGCCTCATTCATTCATCAGCAGGTATGCACACAAAATCACAATATTCTGTAGTTTTAAATCATCTTAATCATGTTTTGATTTGTTGTTCTTGTTGAATGTATTTTATGAGCTTCTATGTATGTATAAGTATTGTTGATAGTTTGAATGTATTTTATCGGTTATTACATCTGCCCAGTGACTACAGTTGAAAATTAGCCAAGATGGCTAAACTGGCACATTTACGCAAGCGTTTATTAATGTGCATGGTCCCTGTAACTTTAAACTGATTAAATAAATAAAAAATAAAAATCTCAATATCCTCTGGAGTTTTACATTGAGATCGAGCGCTCGCACAGCACAGATAAATCTCTAATGTGATCATGTTTTATAGGCAGGAGCTTCCTAGTTGTCCTCAAGGCCACATCTGCGATGTCCTCGGTGTGGTGATCTTTGTTGGTCGTCCAGAACGTGTCAGGAAGAAAGGTGAGATGTTTGATACACACAAAAATATGCTTAATTTTAAGCTAATACACTGAACTATGTTTTTCCTTGCAGATGGGCAAAGGTCAGAGATCGAGGAGTATCGGTGGCTCCAACTTGTGGATAGAACATCAGACAAGCCCATCATGATCAAGCTCTTCTCCACATCCCAGCCTGACATTCACAGCCGCGTCTATCCAAGTACTAAATCACTTTCTCTTGTTTTATTCTCCATCTCTGTCCTGTTATTACAGACAAACTGTATTTTTTTATTTTTTTTATTCAGTGGCTCTGGTTGTCTGCACCAGACTAAAGCTTATGAGAAGTGCAGTTGACAGAGCTACAACTTTTGAATATCTCACCAACACGTCTCTAACCCAGATTTACTGCACAGGTAAACACCTTCATAGATCAGACATATAATATACCCTACTGTTCAAAAGTTTGGGACCAGTAAGACTCTTATAATGCTACTAGGGATGGGCAAGGATTAATCGCATCCAAAATAAAAGTTTGTGTTTACGTAATATATGTGTGTGTGGTGTGTATAATTATTTTGTATATATAAATACACAGACATGCATGTATATATATTTAAGAAATATTTGCATGTATATACTATATATATATTTATACATAATTAATATTATGTATAAATATTTGATATATTAAGAACACATTTTTCGTAAATATATACATACATGTGTTAGTATTTATATATACAAAATAATTATACACACCACACACACATATATTACGTAAACACAAACTTTTATTTTGGATGCAAATAACATGCTATTTTTTACTTTATATTAGTCAATTAATCATGAAAAAATAGATTACAATTCCCCAAAAAACATTGATAATAATTTAGAAATGTTTCTTAAGCATCAAATCATCATATTAGAATGATTTCTGAAGGATCATGTGACGCTGAAGACTGGAGTAATGATGCTGAAAATTCACAGGAATAAATGACATTTTAAATATATTAACATAGAAATGTATGTGCACCTTCCTGCCACCAACACCTGTTACCTGAAGAAAGGTTCCCACCTTTATTCTGTAACCAATTACCAAAGAGGGACCCCTACTGGACACACACTTGCATCACAAAGTTTAAAATAAAGACAAAATGGCTCATAGAAAGAACTATGACCTCCAGCTGTTATGTCAAAAGTTGAAGGAGAATTTGATTAAAAAAGTCTACAGACACCAAACATTTGAATGGTAGTGAATGTAAACTTGTTTGCAGAATTGATACAATCCGCTGCTGTCATTTGCAAACATGTAAACAGGCACAGGGTCTCACCCCGTGATGCCATACAGAGGTGTCCGGCCCATCCGCCAGTTTCTTCACTGGCTGAAGCAGGTCGATGAGAACGGCCTTCTGGAAAGAGCTGTGATTGGAGGATATTTCAGCTACCCACCACTTCCTGTTTCACTGAGTAGCTTCATGGAAAACAGACAAGGTGAGAAGCAGAAAACGACGTGTTTATGAAAAGATGATCAAACCGAGCACAGAAAACGCTCTCTAATGGCAACCTTTTGAGTTTAGTGTTGAAAAAATGTATTTGATACTTAAATGTGTTGCTGCTCCTGTGGCTAATTTTAGTGTGTGTGTGTGTGTTTGCAGGGGAAGCTGGTCTCATCAGTGGAGGAGAGATGAAATTAGAGTGTGAGAAGTTAAATTATCGAGAGAAACGGCAGTTTGCTCTTCAGTGTGTGGTCACTGCCGCCTGCTACCACCATAGAGAGGTACATGCGTCAGCAACACATAACCACACTATTATACAGCCTACAACACACACTGTTCAAAAGTTTGGGGTTGTATGTTTTCTAAGAAGCCTCAAGGCTGCATTTATTTGATAAAACAGTAAGCTCTTAGGCTCTATATAGCCCTTAATCCTGTAATTGTAGACAAATGTGGGCACAGAGGACTCGGGTGTGATCTTAATTTTTATTTATTATAAATGTTATATCACTGTCTTCGGTAAAGTTTTGTCTATCCATTTATGGTGTTTTTTTTATTTTATTTTGGGGGTATTTATTTATGTACTTCAAAACGTACCATATTTAAATTATATGTAAATTATGCTTATTTTTATGTTTAAAGATGAAGTGACTTTGCTGGCACCTGGTGTCTTATTTTGGCTTATTTTAGAACGCTCTAAATTAGTTTTTCCCATTCATTTCTATGGGTGCCCATTTTTGACCCAAATACAAGATAAAGGAGTTTTTTTCACCCACTTAACATTGTAGAATTGAGTCAAAAAAAAATTGTGTGTGTTCAGGAGGCAAACTTAGGAAAAGTAGCCAAGTCTTGTACCGCTCAGATCAAGGGAAGTATTTTTTTTTTAAATAAATCAAAACTATTTGCCCACATTTGTCCAGAATACGGATTTAGGGTTAAGTATATTTTATAATGTTGTTCATGTGATGCAAAGCTAAATTTTCAGCATCATTACTCCAGTCTTCAGTGTCACATGATCCTTCAGAAATCATTCTGGTGTGCTGATTTGCTGCTCAAGAAACATTTATTAGTATTATCAATTAGTAGTAAATAGTATTAAAAATTACAATATCATCAAACATTGTGAAACATTTATTCAGGATTCTTAGATGAATAGAAAGTTTTAAAAAACAGCAATGTCTTTACTTTCACTTGTGATCAGTTTGATGCATTCTTGCTGAATAGGAGTATTTATTTCTTTAAATAAATCAATCTTACGGACTCCAAACTTGAGTGATACTGTACCTTTCTTATATCTCTATTGTCTTTTCTTTTATAGAGCAATGGGCGAACACAGTGTTCAGATCTCCCATCGGCTCCACTCAGCCCTAGAGTGCCACGGCAGAGAGAGGCGTATGTGTTGTTTTGGGTTCCTGATATGATGTGGATTGAATAGTTCATCCAGGAATGATCAAAAATGTTCTTGTATGTCTTATAACTTATCACGACAGAAGCAGAAGTGTGAATGAGATTCGATAGCAAGCAGCTTGACAGCATCTCCGGTAAACACGATTTCACCAAGTACAACATGATCCTGGATCAACATTCAAATAAACCAATCAGAGTTGAGAGACAAGTGTAGGCTGCGGTTGGGTTCTTCTACATCAGGGTTAGGAGTACCTTTTCAGACAGAAATGTTGATCCAGGAACATGTCTAACTTGGCCAAATCACAGTGACCCTTCCCCTTCACTGTCATTGCGTGGAAAAGAGCAGCTAAAGCCCTCCTTTTGATTTTCTAACAAACACAAGCATATCAAGCATGGATCTTTATTTGGTGAACTGTCCCTAACTATTGTTTTTACCGCAGGTCTGAACCTCACAGGACACCAGTAAAGCGGAAACTTTTCGGCAGTACTAGCCCGAGAAAGAGGTAAGAGTGTGTTTCTGTCTGATACAGAAGAACTGCTGTCGGAAGAATAATTATAATAATAATAATAATGAATTCTCTCTCAGGTTGGCACCACCTCTGCAACCATTTGCAACAGAGGATGACGCAGAGAGGGGTAAGAGAATGCAGTGGCGTTGTTAAAGGGATACACTTTTTTGGGAAATAGGCTCATTTTACAACTCCCTCAGAGTTAAACGTTTGAGTTTTACCGTTTTTGAATCCATTCAGATGATTTTCTGATATTTAGAAGAATATCAGTAACCAGACAGTTTCTGGTCTCATTGACTTCCATAGTAGGAAAAAAATATACTATGGAAGTCAATGAGACCAGATACTGTCTGGTTACCGATTTTCTTCTAAATATCAGAAAATCGGCTGGATGGATTCGAAAACGGTAAAACCCAACTGTTTAACTCTGGGGGAGTTGTAAAATGAGCCTATTTCCAAAAAAAAGTGGAGTATCCCTTTAACAATCACACAAACCATACAAATTCTCAGGTGTTCTTGGGTGCAAGTTTGACGATTTTCAACCTGGTTTGTATTGTTATGGTGTCGGTAGTACATGAACAGTGTTTACTCGTTCTCCGTGTTAACTGGACCAAGAAAAGTCCCTTTTATTTATCAGCAAATCTCTTTTGAGAGCTCTATGACTTTAATGAAACTACAGTTTGTACTTTTGCATTTTTGTATCTCCGTCAGCGGAGTGTCGGATCAACAGAAATTAGTTGACTTCAGAAATCAAAGTTCTTGATAATTTACTCACCCCCACTTCAGACAAGATATTCATGTATTTCTTCAGTCGAAAAGAAATTAAGGCTTTTGAGGAAAACGTTCCAGGATTTTTCTCCATATAGTGGACTTCAATGGGGTCCAACGGGTTGAGGGACCAAATTGCAGTTTCAATGAAGCTTCAAAGGCTCTACACGACCCCAGCCGAGGAATAAGGGTCTTATCTAGCCGAACCATTCGTCATTTTATAAAATAAAATAAAAAAATCAACATTTATATACTTTTTAACCACAAATGTTCGTCTTTCAATAGCTGTAATGCGCCACACATTACGTAATCATGTTGAAATGTCACGTGTGTGACAGAGGTGGAAATATCGACCTAAGAGTTTACAAAGCAAACAAGACTAAGTCAAACGCCCTTTACAATAAATAAATAAAAATAAAAGGTTGTTGGACGATTTGTTGGACGAGTTTTTCACCCTACCCTATATATTTTCCACCTACATCAGGTTACCACCTGACTGTTCAACGTTACTTCGTAATGTGTGAAGTTGTGGATGTGCAAGATGGGAATTTGTGGTGAAAAAGTATATATATTTGATTTTTTTTTTTAATAAAATGACCGATGGTTTGGATAGGTAAGACCCTCATTACTCGAATGGTAGAGTGTAGATCCTTTGAAACTGCAATTTGGACCTTCAGCCTGTTGGACCCCATTGAAGTCCACTATATGGAGAAAAATCCTGGAATGTTTTCCCCCCAAAACGTTCATTTCTTTTTGAACTGAATAAAGACATGAATATCTTGGATGACATGGGGGTGAATAAATTTTTAGGAAATTGAACTGAATTACAATAACTGTGCGAATTTACTCAGATTTGCATTGAATTTCTATTAAAAGATCGGTGTGTCCTGTGCCCTGCAGATTTTTCTCTGTTTGACGGCGCCATGGAGTTTCTAGTCGGAGAACAGGATGATGATGATAGCAATGATGAAGATGACGACGAAGATTTCTCGACGCCGCCCACTAGTCCCATGACCTCACGTCTGGGACTGACACGGGTCGCCATGGAAACTTTGCCACGGGTTTTTTGTTATGAGCGACGACATGTTCAGGCTGTTGCCGTGGGGATGCAGGTTAACAACTTTCACAAGCTCCTCCCACAGAGAGAGCTGGAGTCATTTAGCCCCGCCTCCTGCTACACCGGCTACTTCACTCTGACAATGAGAGGTGCACATTCAAAAACACAATTTTGTGAAGTGAAGTGTCAGTCAAAGTGTTTGTAGTATTGTGATAATGTTTTTATTTCCCTTGTGTGGATAGCTTTATCAGATGGAGTGATGCTTGATGCTCTTTTTCTGCCTGCTGCCCCGGGAAACCTGCACTGGATGCCCCTCCCCCTGTCACATGATAACTCTTGGGAGTCTATCCTATCACATGGAGGGTTTTCACCACATGCCCCGCCCCCAAGCCCCGGTAAATATAAAGGCCTTTTTTATTTAGAGCGAATTTCAGTGTCAAAACACATCCATTTAAACAAAAATGTTCATATTTTAGCAAATTTGATAATGGTTTCAGCTACTAAACATAGTGTTATACATCATGTTATATAAAGCCCCCTCAATTTTAAAGAACCATTATTCTATATATATATATATATATTGTGATAAAGTAAGCCATTTGATTCATATTTAATTAAAATTAAAAAATGAATACAAACAAAATGTATGGATTAAAACTAAGTCCATAAAGAATTTTGTTTCTAAGAGTGAAGGGCAGGACGTAATGTGTTTTTCTAAAATATCATATTGTCACGAAAAATATCACAAGAATTGTATTAATTCTGTATTCCAATAAAAGAGGGGATTTTTTTTTCTTCTAGTGTCTGGTGAAGCTTCTTACATTATATGTACTCTGATGTAATATAGATTATAAACTGCAACCCAACAATTAAAATTTGGAGGAAAAACGACTACATAAAACCATAATGATTCATAAAACTGCTAAACATTTAAGTCTGGTTTCTCTTTCTTCTCCAACAGCTGACATGATCGCCACTGCAAATCAGTTGACCAATCAAAGACTAGTGTGTGTGTTCGACGCATGTGCTTTAGGAGCAGAGAAGATGGAACTGGTGCTAAACCGAGCATTTCCTTTACGGTAATGGACGCATAATGGAAATGGAAGGACACATTGATATAAGAGAAGTTTTTTATGATTTTTATACAGCTGCTGTAAACAGAATCACCCTATGTATAATATTTATTTATTTATTTTATTAACAAACATGTTTTTTAATTTTATTATTAAGTATTCGAGTATGGTCCATGAGGTTTACTATCCATGGTAATAAAATGTTACCACACAATTGATTGACTGCGGTGCACGATGCTCAAAGGGTCAAGACTTTTTCATTTTCATGAACAATCTTGCCTTTGATTATGACATATTTGATGAGCTCCTGATGGCCCCCAAACTGGTACACCAGATGTTCCCACCTGCAACAGGAGGAAAGACAACTAAAATTATAACAAGTTCCATCAAGCACCACTCATAATCTGAATCTCAATAACTGATTTCCGTATTCAAACAACTTATAAACAGTGTTGGGAAAAGTAACGCATTACAATATTGCGTTTCTCCCTGAAATAGTAACTAATTGTGTTGCTTTTTATGGGAAAGTAATGTGTTGCACTACTTTTTCTGAGTTCAATAAAATAACAGAAAAGTTTTGTAAATGTAAAGGCCCTTTCACACCAAAAGTGAAATGAGGCAAATAAGGGAAGAAAATTCAACACTTCAGCAATAAAATTAAAAAAATTAAACACAAAAGTTTATCTAACCCTCTGGAGCTCTTCCGAAAAAAAATAAATAAAAAATAAAAAATTATTCTAAAATAAAACTCCTTAAAGGACTACTTCACTTTTAAAAAAAACTTTTGCTGATAATTTACTCACCCCCATGTCATCCAAGATGTCCATGTCTTTCTTTCTTCAGTCGAAAAGAAATTAAGGTTTTTGATGAAAACATTCCAGGATTTTCTCCATATAATGGACTTCATTGGGAACCAAACGGTTCAAGGTCCAAAAGAAAGATTCAGTGCAGCTTAAAAGGGCTTTAAACGACACCAGACGATGAATGAGTCTTATCTCGGACCCTTCGAGTCATAACTCGAAAAAGATTTGTTCATTTTGATGAACGAGTTTGAACAGGAGAGTCACGAACACTCATCACAGAACAGAGCAAGGCGAGCATTTGTGCTTATAAAACTTAAACTTTTTTATTTATTTTTTTAAATGAGCGATCGTTTCAATAGATAAGACCCTTAATCATCGTCTGGTGTCGTTTAAAGCCCTTTGAAGCTGCACTGAAAGTGTCTTTTGGACCTTGAAACGTTTGGTTCCCATTGAAGTGCATTATATGGAGAAAATCCTGGAATGTTTTTATCAAAAACCTTAATTTCTTTTCGACTGAAGAAAGAATGATATGGATATCTTGAATGACATGGGGGTGAGTAAATTATCAGCAACAGTTTTTTTAAAAGTGAACTACTCCTTTAAGTCAGAACCATAATCAGAATGGTACAAAACTTGGTAAAGGTTGCTTGCTATGTGTGAACACACACAAAAAAAATAATGGACATGATTCGAAATGGTTAAATGGTCTTGAAAAAATTTTTTTTTTTTAATAAAAACTAAAAATAAACTAAAACTAAAAAAAAAAATACTTTTTTTAGGTCTTTTGGACCTTAAACCGTTTGGTTCCCATTGAAGTCCATTATATGGAGAAAAATCCTGGAACGTTTTCATCAAAAACCTTCATTTTTTTTTTCCGACTGAATAAAGAATAACATGGACATCTTGGATGACATGGGGGTGAGTAAATTATCAGCAAAAGTTTTTTCAAAAGTGAACTACTCCTTTAAGTCTGTGTTCTAAACTAGCATTCGAGATTTACGACCGTTTAAGTTTTCAGGTCTATGCTCAAAAAGTGAATATAAATACAGTGTAAATCTAATTTAGTATCTTAAAATCCCCTAAAAAAAATACAAAATATAAAATAAAAAAACACTAGAACTAAAATATAGTATTCATTTCATTGAAATAAAAAAAAACACACTTTGCATTTAGACATAGTAATTTTTGCTTATTAGTTTGGTTGAACTGGATCGTCGAAGGTAATACTTGAGAATTCAGCACCTGAATAACCTGAAGCTACTGTATGTGTGTGAGCTCACCGTGGTGCATTAATGATCACGAGGTCTCCCTGTTTCCCGATTTCAAGCGACCCGTGCGTTTGTGAACGGTTGAGAGCGTAGGCTGCGTTTATAGTGCTTGCGGCCAAAGCTTCTGGCATAGACATCTTCATCATCACACAGGCCAAGTGCATCACCATAGGCTAATGAACAAACAGACAAATAGAATTATATGGAGTGGCCGGGTCAAATTTCTACAAGACAACATATGTTTATTAATAAGATGTGTTGTGTATTATGGTCACCATTGAGCAACAGTAGGCATTGGGGTTGAAGTCACTGCCCAGGGCCACTATGACTCCAGCATCAAGCATGTCTCTCGCGCGTGGTGGAGAAAGCCTTAGATCAAATTCAAGATTCATTGCAAATTATTTAAAGGAGTAGTTCACTTAAAAAAAAAAAAAAAATTACTGATAATTTACTCACCCCCATGTCATCCAAGATGTCCATGTCATTCTTTCTTCAGTCGAAAAGAAATTAAGGTTTTTGATGAAAACATTCCAGGATTTTTCTCCATATAATGGACTTCAATGGGAACCAAACGGTTCAAGGTCCAAAAAACAGTTTAAGTGCAAACTGCAAACTGTTCAAAGGGCTTTAAACGATTCCAGACGATGAATCAAAATGAACGAATCTTTTTTCGAGTCAAATCGTTTGTTGAATGAACGAGATGTTTTGATGAACGAGTTTGAACAGGAGAGTCACGAACGTGCGTCACAGAACAGAGCAAGGCGAGCATTTGTGCTTATAAAACTTAAACTTTGTTATTTATTTATTAAATAAGCAATCGTTTCGCTTGATAAGACCCTTATTCATCGTCTAGAATCGTTTAAAGCCCTTTGAACAGTTTGCACTGAAAGTGTCTTTTGGACCTTGAACCGTTTGGTTCCCATTGAAGTCCATTATATGGAGAAAAATCCTGGAATGTTTTCATCAAAAACCTTAATTTCTTTTCGACCGAAGAAAGAAAGACGAGGACATCTTGGATGACATGGGGGTGAGTAAATTATCAGCAATTTTTTTTTAAAAGTGAACTACTCTAATTGCATTGATAATTGTCATCGACATTGTGGTTATTTACCTTAATATATAGGCAGTGGTGGGTAGGAGGACCGCGGATGTTTTAGCTTTTGCCATGGCAGCGATTCCATCATCTGTCACTTCTTCTAAATGACTGATGGCTAAAGCGTCAAGTTCTGCCGCAAGCTGTTCGATTGGAAGACAAAGATTATGTAAGAACTTGAGCATTGTGTGCATGTACACAAGAAACTCAAACGTGTAAGTGTGCAAACATAACATACATGTGCAGAGTTCATGGGATGGAGTTCATCGCCATGAAAGTTGATGTTGAGACCCATGTCTTTGCCAGCCTGGAGTATGCAACGTGTAGAGTTCAGATCGAACACACCTTTCTCACAAAACACATCAATGTTGTCCACCTGCAGATCACCCGAAGCCATTAGCTTTTTTATCTCGGGCAACTGCACGGCCACAATGTCCCGAGTGGCTTCTTCCATTGTTTTACCTCTGAATACACAAAGATAAAGTTCAAAACTTTGGGGTTGTTAAGATTTTTCAATGTTTTGAAAAATCTTGATCACCAAGGCTGAATTTATTTGATTAATAAAAATTATCAAATTTATGAAATATCATTACAATTATTTTATTTTTTTTTAAAAAAAGGATTCACGTAATGCAAAGCTGAATTTTCAGCATCATTACTCCAGTCTTCAGTGTCACATGATCGTTCAGAAATCATTCTAATATGCTGATTTGATGCTTAAGAAATATTGATTATTATTGCCAGTGTTGTAAACAGTTAATATTCTTTGATAAATGGAAAGTTCAAAAGAATAGCAGTTATTTAAAATAGAAATCATTTGTAACATTATAAATGTCTTTACTGTCACTTTTGAGAATTATCTATATCTATCTCTGTCTGTCTCTAACCTTCAAAATTGGGTGAATTTGCCTTTTTTTAGTTGGTATTATTGTGTGTTTATATCTGAAAGTGTGTGTATTACTTCAGTTTTTTTTTTCGGAAAATTTAGGATTGGCAAGAAGCAATTTGAGGACTACAATAACGTACATGCTTAAAACAATTTTGTACATGATAAACTAATTTTGTGAAGAGTGTGTACTTGGGTACTGCGTGGGCTCCACAGTATGTTGCCGATATCCCGATTGGCAGTGACTTTCTTGCTGAATTGATCACCCTCAGCATCTTGAGTTCAGTGTCCATCTCAAGTCCATATCCACTCTTACACTCCACCAGCGTGGTTCCCGCTCTCATCATGCGCTCCAGACGGCTCTGTAACCCGGCTAATAGATGTTGCTGGGTTGCTGAGCGAGTGTGTGCCACTGTAAAATGAATCCCACCTCCTGCTTCATGCACTTCCATGTATGTGGCACCAGCCAGCTGTACACAGAACAAGATAAGGTATGTTACACCTCTGACACCAAGACTTAAAGTTATATCCTCATAGAGAGATAGATTGAACTAAATGAAAGCAAACCTTCATGGCAAACTCATGCACTCTGTCTCCAGCCCACACTGGGTGTGTGTGTGCATCAACCAGACCTGTAAAATTATGTTAATATTCATTAATCTGTATATATATATGATTTTAAAGGATGTGTCAACAGAAGGGGTCAAACTGTTTATTTTGGGTGGAAGATGTAACACTTACCTGGGAGAACACACATGCCAGACGCATCCAGGACATTGTCAAACTTTGCTCCTTTGAACTGAGACTCAATGATGTCTGCTGCTCCAACAGCTTTAATTAGTCCATCACTACACACACACACAAATAGCTCAATGAGGACATACCATTGACTTAAATTGCTATTTTTATTTATTTTTTTTAAATGTATTTATTATAACTATACCTTTGCTAACATTAGTTAGAAGACCTATAGATCTTGCTCATTGTTTGTTCATGTTAGTTCAGTGCATTATGTTAACAAAACTATCATTACATTTTAAAAGTGTATTAGTAAATGTTGAAACTACCATTGACTAAGATTAATAAATGAAGAGTTCAGATGCAAAAGCCTCTAAATGCCATTTGAAATTTTCTTCTTTAATGATGATTTTTATGAAACTTGTATATTTAAGTTCAGTAATTTCACTTAAATGGCAATGATAATTACCTATTAATTGTTATTTAAGTGAAATTACTGAACTTAAATATACAAGTTTGCTAAAAATTATCAATAAAAAAGAAAATTTCAAATGGCATTTAGAGGCTTTTGCATCTGAACTCTTCAAATATAGAAGTGGTCTGTTAGTTCATGTTAAATAATTTATAGTTAAATGTACACTATAGGCTATGGCAATGCAACTCTTTTGTTTAAAATTAACAAACATTTAACAGACAATACAATCAATTCTTCTATTCAATTATTATTATTATTATTATTATTTGTCTTACCCTGATTTACGTAAGACTATTAAGTGATTATTTTTTTAAAACCTGACGGGGTGGTTTTCGCGGGAAATTGCGTACATACGTCAAAAGCCCGCGTGTCTCGTCATATCCCTAAATAGAAACGTGTCCTTCCGGCTACTTTTGCAGGGTGTATTTTGATAACCAAATGGCAGTTGTCACGACTAGCGAGAAAAAGGTTGACATGGCGACAGAGGTCCTGATAAAACGAGAAACAAAATGGCTTTTCAGAGATGGTGAGAACTGAAGAATTTGATAGGTCTAGTCTAGGCCTATTGTAAAAGTGCTCAAGGCAGGGATGGCGTTTTTATTACTCAACAGGTAAGGCATTTTGTTGAACAGATAAATAGCCTCATATATATCTCTCTAACAAAGTTAATTGTAAAACATTATCTATTAAGGCTAATATTTATCCTCACAGTCACGCAGAGCCGACGTATAAGCAAAAAATGCTTACAAATGAAACCTATGTAAAGTGTTACTAAAATGTTTACTGTAGCTTTATGGATACATTTGACTTTGTGGACATATTTGTGACAATATTGACCGCTTAATGTATTTTGCAATAATTAATCTCTTTGAAGGAGCCATCCTATATTTTCATTATTTAAGTATGTAACCTTTGGCCGTCTAGTGGTTAAAAAGCAAAACTTCATGCAATTCAATTCTCAATGCTTTTAATTTTTTTGTGTGTGTGTTTTATCCTAAACATGTATTGAGAATTGGCTAATTGTTTTTGTACGGAGACAGTAATGCTAGCGTTTAACCACGTGCAATAAATAAGACAGACCATCAGTAATATAAAGAATTCACCCGACTTACTGTCCAATCACCACACTGCCATTCTCGACGACAGCCAGAGTCTGCATCCCATCCCTGGTGAGATACTTTTCACCATTTCTGCAAACCAAGACCACTTGGGTTGCATTCTTGACTAAAAGTCTGAAACTGCTGGAAGACATTGTAGTTTAACTTTGGTGAAAGTGTTTCAGAGCAGAGCTCAGTGGTGAAAGAGTGGGTAAATATTTAGCAAAGCCAAAATTGGGTAACTTGGCCGAAGGTCGCTAAATGGCCAGTGAGCTTATGTTTCGGTCCCGCCGATTCTGTACAACACGTTATTTTCGTGGTGGTGCTTCTTACTAACTACACAGTTGATTCATTTAAAATAATAGATGCGATAAGCAATACTGTAAAACATTTTGCGAATGGACTTTTTATACGCACTTCAGGTGAATGTGAACTATAATGACAAGATTCAAAATTACCTTGCCTTATTGCTAATATTAAACGTTTGTCATTTAACTCGTCCGTCACACGGATCGATTAATCGATTCGCCACACACAAAAACATGGCTCTATTTCCCTTCGTTAGCTTCTAAAACATTCACAATACACGTATCAAGTTGTTTCCAGTGTAATTTCCCAAAACAAACCTGTCTTAACCTGAATATACTAAATTAGCAGTAGTGCGATGATGATTTTACTCCTCAGAAAGTGGCCACATAATTATTGAAATGAACGACTACAAACATATAATCCATAATTTAAACTATTAAAATAATATTATTTGTAAGTATATTAATTTATAAATATATAATTCATTAAAAAATGAAAAAGCTCTTTGGTTAGGCTTTTACTGTGAACTTTAGCTTTCATGACTCACTCAACTAATGTTACCTATTACCAAGTGAAACACATTCAATGATGTGTTGAAAAAGAAGCAATTAGGGATTCTATGCATCTGCAATTAAATGGTTAGTGGTCTATGCCAGACCATTTGTGGCATTATATCAGAATAGAGTCAGACAAGTTTTTCTTCAGAATTGCATGCACTTATGAATTGTTGCGTCAAGTACATAGGGTCAATTTTGTTTCATGTTAACTGCAAAGTCAGACAAAGAAATACAACAAAAACATACAAAAGTGCACAATTTATTTGTCGTGCCACCAATAACTTTTACAGTGAAAAAAATGTCAAACTAACAGTTTTACAAAGAAAAAAGAAACAGCTTTACATAAAACTAACACAAATGGCAAATTAACCAATACATCTTCCAATCCCATTAGAAATCGATTCACTCTTCATTCTCTCATCTCTCCATCTTCTTCCTCTTCTTCTACTCCTCTTATGTACAAAACATTATTACACCTGAAGGGGGGAAAAAAAACAGTAGTATAATACAAAATTTTTCTTTTCTTTTTTTCAATTTAAGTAAAAAAAGTCTGTGGTAAACAGTTCGACAACGTAAACTCCACATATTCACTCTAAATGTTCTTATCTAGCCACTTATTAGAAACATGCATTTCATTTTTTACATAATAGCTTAATTTCATAATATAATAGCTTAATTTCCGTTTTCGATATGGATGTGTGCAATTCATGTTGAACAAAAAACGTCCCAAGTATCGCCAAATATTTTTTGCCACCACTGTTCATTTCATTAAGAAAATCAACAACCTTTTTTCATGACTAAGACGAGATGACACCAATGTGATTAAACGATAACTGACTATCAACATGCAATATTATTGCCAATAAAAGACGAAACTAAGATGTGGTTAAATAAAAGCTATGCCAAAATCTTTGTTTTTGTCATAGAATTAAAAAAGGAGGAGACCTAATATTACATGCTGTTTTTAACAAGCCTCTCCGAGCTTTCATGCTTGCGTTTGCCAGATGTCAAGAGTTTAAATCCCCCAATCAAAGCTTTTTCTTTAAAGGTATACATTTCCTTCGCTGTGTTAATTTTTGCAATCTGGCAACCATGCGCGCAAGCTCTCTACACTGCGGAAGAAGCACGGATGATCTGAAATTGAGATATTCATTGAGACATCATCCATGACATGCACCACTCATTGATTTTCAAACCAAAGTCTTACCTGATGAGCACCTCGCCAAGATGACCCGCTAATGCTCCATCCACATACTCTTCTGTGTTGGCCAGCTAGATGTATCAGAGAGACAGAGCTTAATTAACACATTAAGAGAAGGACTACTAACAATTAGAGATGCACAGACGTATCGGCTGATTTAAAACCATTGGCTATATAGCATGAAAAAGGGAGATGTATAGATTAACTGTGTAATCCAACATTTCTTCAATTTAACAATATGGACTGCCCGGTGCCAGCGTAAACTATGCTCAGAACAATTGATCCTTGCAGAATTGTTATCCTTTACACACGTTTAAGCCTTGCCAACTTAAATATTCAAAGAAATGTGTGGGAAGTTGTGTATGAACATTCACGTGCACCCAGAAAGAAGTGTTTTAGACAGCGCACAAATACTAACTTGAGTTCCCTTTCACATTTAATTCATATCAAAACGCCTTTCTTGTATCTGTCACTAAACACAGTTGATTATGGCTTAAATGAATGTTAGCAGTTGAGAAATAACACGCGTGTATCAGTATAATGGATTCATGCAGCTCTTAAAGTGACAGCAGCCAAATATTTTGATTTAATGTTAATCAAACAAAAGATAAAAAAGTAAAGAAAATGCTCACTATTGACTAAATAACTTTAATAAGAGTTAATGTACATTTAATAGATACAATTAAGAGTATATTTTACATTGTATTACTTTATTTCCATACCTAAATACTAATGTTAGACCAAAAGGCAATGTTTATTTCATATGCATCTTTGTTCTGTTTGTATGTAGGCCTGTTGAATGTTGAAATGGATCAAATCCATGTTCAATAGAAATGATTTGATGATGCAGCATTACACTATACCTTAATACATGATTTTTTGCTAAATTAAATCATGATCCACACACTTATTAGAACGTCTGTCATTAAAATAGATTAGAGCAAGTGACAAATACCGGTATCGGCCAATAGTTGCCTGTTAGAATTGGCCAAAAAACACATATCGATGCATCCCTACTAACGGCTGAAACTCATGGGGTGTCATGGGGATTTAAATTACACTGGATATTGTGCATGTGGGCCATGGTGAAAATTAGTGACAGCTAAAGATATTTTATGATCAAAAGCATCCATTAACGGTCTATTATATTGAGACTTGCCTGCATGTTCATGTAGCCGTCCACCGACACCAGGTACCCCTTGTACTCCATCCCCCACTTCAGCTTCACCATCACAGGCTTTCCTGTGAGACCGTTCAGAAAGGGCTTGGGGTTTAACGGCAAACTCTGCAGAAAAAGCCAAAGTTTAGTGTCTGATATAAAAATAAAGTAAAAGAAAAAGTAATGTCTGCAACCCTGAAGAAGCCCCAGTGGGGTCAACATTGCTTTTTTATTAAATATGGGAGCATAAAGCAGTGTTGCGGACAATACCTTTTCTAATTTCAATGGGAATCAAATCTTTCATAAAATTCCAACATAAGCCAGGCTGAACAGAGTATTATAAGACTAGGGTAGTATATACAACACATTTCATACACAATGGTAATTCAAAGTGCTTTACACAGAAGAAATTAAAATAATCAAAACAAATGAGAATGAAAAGTTTAGAATAAAGTAAAAAAGTACAGCAAACATAGAATGCTTATGCTGGATATCACAAGAACAATTATGATTTATAGTATGTACATTCCTATAACTTTCCAATAGAAAGATTTTATTTATTCTGGTGAGGATTGAATTATATATTAGAAATGTATTCTCAAGAAGATACGAAGGCACAATAAGAACGTCAAATTAACTATTAGCCTATGCTTTTAGTATTGCTGGATTTACAATAATTAGCTGCGAATTAGCATAGGCTATCTACAGATATACACTATCTACGGAGAGCAGATGACTAAGTTGTGACAAGGCAAATGGAAATGTTGATAATACGAGATAAATGTTCCAACATTGATAATGACTGAAAACAACGTCCAATCTGCGTTCCCGATGCTAACACGCAACCGCATTGTCCGCTCATTCCTGAATGAAAACCACCTTTCTTCTCGAAACAAAACTTCAAGTATCGAGCCGAAAGAAGGAGATTCTAGTGTACTTACCATGACTGTACTGCTAAAGTAGTTTTGCAGATGAAAAAATTGTTTATTCAAATAGCATAGGCTAGTGAAGCACACTCGCACGCCTTGCCGCCGAGAGAGGGAAGGACTGCGAGCGAACTTTGACCGCGCGGCGGGGGAGAAGAGCGCGTGCGCCAACAGCGCCACTCACAGGACTGGCGTGCCATCGCGCCATGATAGAATCGCGTTTGAAATATAAAACTAGTGCAGCAGTGCCCGTGCAAAATCTGTTTGTGTGTGTATGTTTAGTAATTGTTGTTTTGGTGTGTTTGAGAGCTCATCGTTACAATTGGACAGCAAAAATATTTTTATTTGTGTATGGCAGAAAGCTAATACTGATATGACATAATGACACAATAAAAATGGAAAATTGAACTACGGTTGCATAACAATTTATAACGGTGATACGGTGACTATTTATAATAATGATGTTAGGTGGCATGTATTTGAGGTATCTCTGTACAGGTAGCCGGAGTTTAGATTAGATTTACATTAGTGTAAACTTTGTTGTCATTGTGCAGATTACAATTATAGAGACTATGAAAGACGGTTATTGTCTTTGTAGCTGAGTTAATGTTTAGCTGACAGAGTGTTTATGTCAGAATGTTTAATTTAAAACCACAACCTTAAACATCTTCAACGCGTGTCATTTTACCAATATATTTACCGATATCTTTTTGCATTTCTAATCTAAACATCTAGTTTGAAATCCATCGGACTAACAGATAAAGAGATATGCGAAACATACACAGTAATTTATAGATAGATACATTACTATTTTGTTTAGGCTAATCGGTTATGTTAATTTCTCAGTACTCAGGACACGTTTTTAAAGCTCTTTTAAAAGACTGTTAGCACAGCAGCAGTGTATGTGAATCATCTCACCATTTGGTTTGATTCACTAATGCATTCATTAAGTTTTCAAGCAGAACTCTAGCTATATATCTGTTAGATTTATGTTTAAAAACACAACAGTAAATCTAAATTGCCCAGCAGTGTCCTTTATTTGTACAGCAATTCTGCATCACAAATAAATAAAGTTGATTTATCTTCTGAAGACTTGTCCAGCTTCTTTTTGTTGTTGTTGATGCATTTCTTTACCATTTATTGAAATGTCATGTAAACTTGGCTGACAGTTATGACATGACACGCCAAGAGATTCTTTACCAGTGGTATCGCCAGATAGGATTGCATATATATTATGTGTTGGGTACTTTGTGAATGAATCAAAGATTAAAAGCTGCCTGAAAGCCAACAGTAGCGGATTAGAGCGGAAATCTTTTGCAGATCCGCATTCCAGACGAGGATTTTTTTTCCATATTTCAAAAAGTGACCTGTCTTTCATCCTGTATTATACCTTCCTGTTGACCAATCTTATGGGCTTTTCCGCCTTGATCAAATCAATATGCAATCTTTTCTTTTCATGTCAGCTGATTTCACATGATTTAGATCTCAAAATGCTTTGATTTCATGACATTTTTAACACAATTTGGAACCAATCCGAGTGAGATCAAACAAGAGTCATCCAATAATTTTCAAAAAAGAATCTTTGATAAACTGAAAAATAGAACATGTTGTTTGTCATCATAGAATGTTGAATGAAAGTGTTTTTTTAATATAAAATTCTGAATGACATTCTTTATTAATTTACTTTTGCTATAAAAATACTTTTGAATGATCATTTAAATGTGTGTAATCTCAACATATTTTTTCTACAGTGCTTTGCAGTGTTAAATGACAGTTTGCTATAGGCCACTTTCTTATTTCAAATATAAATCTGAGCATTATATTTAACGTCATCCTCCGTATCATTGATAACAGTGCCTTACAGAAGAAGAACCAAACATTCCAGGATTTTCTCCATATAATGGACTTCAATGGGAACCAAACGGTTCAAGGTCCAAATGAGAGTTTCAGTGCAGCTTCAAAGGGCTTTAAACGTCACCAGACGATGAATAAGGGTCTTATCTAGCGAAACGATCGGGCATTTAAAAAATAAATAAAAAAACGTTTAAGTTTTATAAGCACAAATGCTCGCCCTGCTCTGTTCTGTGATGTGCGTTCGTGACTCTCGAACTCGTTCATCAAAATGAAAAAATCTTTTTTCGAGTCATGACTCAAAGGGTCCTAGATAAGACCCTTATTCATCGTCTGGTGTCGTTTAAAGCCATTTGAAGCTGCACTGAAACTCTCATTTAGACCTTGAACTGTTTGGTTCCCATTGAAGTCCATTATGTGGAGAAAATCCTGTAATGTTTTCATCAAAGAACGTCATTTATTTTTAACTGAAGAAAGAAAGACATGGACATCTTGGATGACATGGGGGTGAGTAAATTATCAGTAAAAGTTTGTAAAAAATGAACTACTCCTTTAAGGAGATAAAATGTAATGTAATAAGGAGAGACTTATGTAATACATGTATTGTAAACAGAATTAGCCTTATTAAGAAGTCAATAGAAAGCGAGTCCCGCAAGAGCTGACGTTGAATGACTCATGCCAGGAATGCTCCCATTAAATCGAGAAAAATGCTGGGAGAAGGGGCGTGGCCTCTGTTCTTCAAAGGTCCTGTCACTCACAGCAGGGGCTCCAGATCCCAGCTCAGGTGTTCCCGAGCGAAACACGCGCAACTCGCCTTTCACACGAGCAGCGCGAGCGGACAGCTGTCACCGGCGACAGATAGACGCTCATGTGAGGTTACACTCCAATGGCGGTGTCGCGCGAGACTTCTGTCCTTCTTCAGGTGAATGCTTTCTGTTTGTCATGGGGGCAGCTCACCTCAGCTCAGCGTTTGCGCACCTGGCCAACCCACGCCAGTGAAGTCGTGCTCCTACATGCTATCTGAAAGGCTCTGGAGCGGAATCAGGTTCCCGTGGGCATTGTGGATTAAAACCCTCGCGGGGTTTGATACGTGTAATTTGTGGATTAATGACTAATATGGAGCTGCCAGGGAGATGTGTGCTACTCGCAGCGCTCGTGATGAGCGTTCCTCACCCTGCGTGTTCAGGTCAGTGTTTTCTGCATGTAAACTATTCACCCGCACGTGCGATCAAAACAAGGCGGCTTGCCAAGCGGAGACGCATGGTGTCTGACTCTGAGTGACGAACTGTGATTGATATGGGGAGATGGGGGTGATCTGAATATGCAAAACAAACCAAAACTTTGCATGCGCATACACACCCAACAAGATCTTGCTGAATCCAGCCAATTTGCATTCAGATTGATTCCGCAGTTAAAGCACGCTACCATTTAAAGCATTGATTGTTTATGTTTAGGAACAATTCGTTTTGGAAATTAAATTATACAGTGACTAATAACGCCTGCTAAATTATTAAATAGCTAACATAACCTATAAAGTTTAAAACAATGTTACCATGATGCAGCATTTACCAATGTCCTTTCTATGTGTATAGGCCTATGTGCATAGATGTACTGTAAATAATTATATGATTGAGTTATGACATGTTTTTACATTGCTTCAACTAACCAAAATAAGTAGGGCTGTCAAACGATTAATCCCATCCAAAATAAAAGTTTGTGTTTACATAATATATGTGGGTGCACTGTATATAATTATTTTATATATATATATATATATATAAAATATTGATATTTATACAATATATATATGTATATATTATTGTATGTATTATGTGTGTATATATATGTATATATGATACAGTATATACATGAAAATATGTCTTAAATATATACAATGTCACATGTGTGTATTCATATATATATATACATATATTATGTAAACAAAGTTTTATTTTGGATGTGATTAATCGCGATTAATCGTTTGACAGCCCTAAAAATAAGTTACTGGTAAGCAACTTTTTAAAATAAATTACACAAGATTCAACTTAAAAAAAAAATTAAAAAAAATCCAGTTTAATTTAAGATTAAATGACTTAAACATCCAAGTTGATTCTACTTAAATTTGAGGCAGAAACTTTGTTCTTTTTTCTTTTGTTTATCTAGTGTACTTGTAATCTTTTGTTGTTGACTCGTGTTCAATAAAAATAATAAAATAAACCTATGAGGTCATTTTCGGTGCAGTGGAAATTCTAATTTTGTTCCATTAAAACACCTATCTAAACACCGTATATCTAAAAACAATATAAATCTATAATGAAGTCTTGTCGACACTCTGCTTCAGACCGAGTGAGTACTGTGTTTTTGTTATGGTTACTTCCACAAGTGTGCAAATGTGTCTTTCTGTTCAATACTCAATACCGATACAAATCTGACCTGTAATCAGGCTTTAATCAGTCCTGAAACATTGCTGAAACACTCTAAAAAAATACTGGGTTGTTTGTTTCAACCCAAATTTGGGTCAAATATGGACAAACCCAAATGTTGGGTTAAAAATGCAACAGTTGAAGTTAAAATTTGAAATGACATTTTTAACCCAACATTTGGGTTTGTCCATATTTGACCCAAATTTGGGTTCAAACAACCCAGCATTGTTAACTTTAGATGCTCTAGAGGTTTTGTTTTGTGTGAAACATGACAGAAGATTAGGGATAAACAAAAACACTAATGGACATAATCGATTCTGTGCTTTTTTGGGGGGCATTCCAGTCATAATTTGTTAATCTAATGTCACTGTATTTTATATTTGTGTTTGTTTAAATGTACCAGGATGTGAGAATCGGGTGTGTAATCCTCGCATGGGGAACCTGGCGGTCGGGCGTCCTGTACAGACAGTCTCTCAATGTGGCTCAACCTCTCCAGAACGCTACTGTAACTACGAAACGGGTGGTTGTGAGTTGCATTGCGAGGTGTGTGATGCTTCGGAAACGCATCGCGCGCACCCACCCGCCTCCATGACAGACTCGCCCTTCAAACACCCAGCGACCTGGTGGCAGTCCTCTCAGGAGACTGCCGTTGAAACTCTACAGCTGGATTTAGAGGTGGAGTTTTACTTCACCCATCTCATTATCATATTCCGGTCGCCACGCCCTGCTGCCATGGCAATCGAGCGCTCGCAAGACTTCGGGCACACGTGGAGCGCTCTGATGCTGTATGCGCACAACTGCAGTGGAGTGTTCAACCTGGAGGAGGGACACGGCTGCACTCAGAAATACTCCACAGCATCGCCTTGCAGCAATGGAGAGGTGAGGGAGTGCATGCAGAAGCTCACATTTCAAATGCATTTTGCATGATGCATTTTCGGGAGAATAATAGTGGTGATGATCCTCTTACTTTTTCAGTAGGCGTCATTCATTGTCTGTCCGGTCAAAGAAAAGTCACTGTTTTTGATTTAAATAGGCAAATGCGTTAGAGTCTATGACTGGATCATTATTGCAGTGGTTGTTGTTCCTAGCATGTTATGTTTGGCAACAGTTCTTCTAAATCTAATTGATGGAGTGTGTTGCTTTTCATTTCTTAAACAACCATGTCGGAAGGCTCATCAATTGATGGATATTTCCATTAAGAGGTGCATCAATTTTTGGTCAAGATCTTGTGTTCCCAAGATCTTCCCAACATCCCAAAGACTTTCAATGAGTTTAATTTAAGACTCATTGTCAAGACTCAATTTTAAGACTTTAATGATGTTCCTTCACAATTTGAGCCTGATGAATCTTGACGTTGTCATCCTGGAATGTGGCCGTGGTGTGTCTTCCTACATGGTTGTTTAAGAAATGAAAAGCTACACACTCCATCAATTAGAGTTAGAAGAACTGTTGCTAGAAACATAATAATCACAGCAATTATGGACTCTTAAAGGAGTAGTTCACTTGTAAAAACAACTTTTGCTGATAATTTACTCGCCCCCATGTCATCCAAGATGTCCATGTCTTTCTTTCTTCAGTCGAAAAGAAATTAAGGTTTTTGATAAAAACATTCCAGGATTTTCTCCATATAATGGACTTCAATGGGAACCAAACGATTCAAGGTCCAAATGAGAGTTTCAGTGCAGCTTCAAAGGGCTTTAAACGATTCCAGACGATGATTAAGGGTCTTATCTAGCGAAACGATTGGTAATTTCAAAAATAAATAAAAAAAGTTTAAGTTTTATAAGCACAAATGCTCACTTTGCTCTGTTCTGTGATGTGCGTTCGTGACTCTCCTGTTCGAACTCGTTCATCAACATTAATGAATATTTTTTCGAGTCATTTGGTTCATTCAAAGATCATGGAGTAAATTATCAGCAATTTTTTTTTTAAAGTGAGCTACTCCTTTAAGCATTTGCCTGTTTAAATCCAACCAGCGAGTAGTACTACTTTTTTTGGCCTGACAGTGTATAAATACCATGTTACATAAACACGGTTATCAAAGTATCATGGTATTAGCTTCTGTAGCTCGCCTTCATTGTAAAAATTAATGTGTTGTGCACACAGGATTATTATTATTATTTAATCAACCTGACTGCATTAGGTTACATCAGGGGTTCCCAAATGTTTTTGTCACATAAACCCCTTATACGTGAAATATTTACCTCAGATTTTAAATGAATATTTCAGTAATTTAGAAACGCATTCATATTCACAGTTCTCTGATGTCGATAATAATAATTATCGTTAGTATGTTTTAACTTTAATTATAAAAATGCAAACAAAATCTATTTATGTTCTAAATTAGTTGAAATTTTGATCATTGTAATAATGAAATGCAATGCAGAAATCACACTGAAAGTATTTTTATTTTCTCATTTTTTAATTTTTTTTTATTTTACATTCAATATAAATTAGTAGTTTTTCATCAACTCACAAAACCCTGTTTGGGAACCTGTTTGGGCTTTTTATAGTTTTCAATTCCCAGTTCTAATAACAAGTGCGTGTGTGTGTGTGCGTGTGCGTGCAGAGCCAAATGTCCTCATTATATAGTAAAATATTATGACAACGACTAGGGCAGACATTTACTGGTCCTCACTGATTAAAAAAAGCTTATAAATCTGCCAAATTGTGTTTTTATATAAATCCAGTTTTGCACATTTTTATGTGATGTGTCGGGCTTGGGTTATGGTGATAAAAAATATCATTAAGCTGATATAAAATCAGTGAAATTCTATACAATGTCCTCACTAATATAGTAAAACAAACGCGCGTGTGTGTGTGTGAGCAGGTAATTTACCGTGCTCTGTCGCCCTGGGACAAACTGGATCCATACAGCAGTGATGCCCGATCCCACCTCGGCATCACTAACATACGGATGCGTCTCCTTCAACCGCAGTCCTGCCCCTGCCAGCGGAAACTTCTTGATGCCAACATGCCTCCTGCCCACTATGCCATCTATGACCTCATCTTAAAGGGAGGCTGTTTGTGCCATGGGCATGCAGACCAGTGTGTGCCTGCTGGTGACCAACACATCTCACACCCTCCTAGCAAACACATGGTAAGTGTACACTTGCAATACGGAGGTCTGTACATACTAGCTCTCTCATTTTAGTACTAGCATCTCACGCTAATATTTTTTTTGTCTCATTTTAGTTAAATCATGGCCTAGAATTAAGACGACTTGTTAATTTGTTCCCACATTTTAATAAATCATGGCCACTTTGAATGATGTAATAACTCGAAGTCAGGTTAGAACCCATTTTGCAGAAGAGTTTAATGAACAAATCCAAAACGGTTGGTTCAAACGTGGTCGGCAAGGCAGGCAGTGGTTGAAAAGCAGATGAAAAGCAGAAAAACGTAAGTCCAATAAACTGGCTGAGGCAAGACCCACGCCAGTGAAAGGTGAAAAGTCCCTTTCAAGGAAAATCTGTTCACAGTGATCAATCAATCATGGCATCTTTTGTTAGTGATACTCTTCAAACCTGTGATCCACACACTAAATTACTGACAGATCACAGAAACCATCTTTTGACTGCTTTCCCCACTTCTATTCCATCAGCCATTCAGGATCTAATTATGAAGTCTAACCCTGCAGCTTGACCCTTGCTTTTACTTAAAATGTGTGTTTCAGATATTTCACCCATCCTAACCAGTTTGGTAAATTGTAATTTATTATCTGCTATAGATACAGTCGGTTGGTCTGGGAACGCCCCCGGGAACGCCCCGTCACGTGGTGTGAATTTAGCCCGTGGGGGAAAACAATGCCTTGGCGCTCATTGAAATACATGGGACAATCATGCCGAAGAGTTGCGGTGTCGTTTTCTGTACCACCAATAAACAAACAAATTATAAATTGAAGTTCTACAGCCTTTCTTACATACATACAGAACCGGATAGGAGGACAAAATGGCAAAATTAATCATATCTTATTAGATTACTGTGTGAGTAGAGGTCCGTGTGATATAGTAGTAGATGTTTAACTCGTATTAGGCAGTGGGCCAGATTTGTCTGACGTTACGTCCCTTACGAAAAAGAACTATAGTAATCCTATGGCTATTAGTATTCTATAGTAGTGTATAATACTTCTGTGATGTTCATTAATACCTATACTCCTAGGCTATGTCCCAAAATACTATAGTATTCCTATAGGATTAACGTTACTATAATATTTTGTCCTAAAATACTACAAGATTCCTTTAGTTGTTTTTCATAAGGGATGTTATTAGCGTTATCAGCTGAAGGTTATCAGACTGCAGTCTGTGAGAATTCGGATAACTGTCAGCAAAGTCCCTCTGCAACTTCGTAGCGACTACTAATGATCACCGTTTTACAAAAAGATTAATAGTTTGGAGTGAAGCATACGTACAATTGGTAAGTGACATGGTTTTATGGACTTATAGTAACTTATACGCAAGTTGATTGAGTTACAGGCTTGTGTTGCCGGTAGCTTCCGCGATGTCTTACCTGAAGATTCAACCAGATATAATAGTCTGGAAACGACACCTCCGGCCATTTGGTTGGGTCATTGACCCAGTTTTTAATTAAATAAGGGCAATCATAACCTATTACAGTTAATTTTGCAATGTACCGTTGCCGGTCGGCAGGCATAAATGACTCGCAATATGACATTTTTGTCATTCAAATACATAGGATGGTCGCGCTGCTTTCCCCCACGCCGACCACGCCCCCCAACTATGACGCGTTGCCGACTGTATCTATTGTCCCTGCTGAATTAAAAATTGTTACAGTCAAATCCATCCTTTAGATAAATGAACTATTACAGGCTAATCTCTAATTTACCATTTCTGACCAAAATATTAGAGAAAGTAGTAGCCTCCCGAATATGTAATTGTTCGTTTTAAACCTTGTCCATCTGGATTTTGCCCATCTCTCCCAGTCCTGAAAAGGCTCTTATTCATTCGTACGGTTAATGATATCCTTCTTTCTATGGATTCTGGGTTTACAAACATCCTAATTCTCCCTGATCTTAGTTCAACGTTTGATACTATCTGTCATGATATTCTCATTTCCTGTCTTTCTGATATCAGAATAGGTGGTTCGGCTTTTTCCTGGTTCATTTCTCATCTCACTAGCCCCTTTTCCACCAATAAAGAACTGCTTCGGAACTGGTGCTGGTTCAAAGTTGGTTCAACTTGTGAACCGCTTCAGAACCTATTTGTTTTTCCACTGACTAGAGCGCCCAGGGAACAACGTCGTACGTCGCCATACGTCTTAGCTAGAAACGCTTGCAAATACAACATTACTTTCGGATTCTAACTCGTATACCAAGAAAGCTCTAAAAACAATTGAAATATGTAAGTCTTTTAATCTTTTCGTTTGATATGTGATTTTTTCTGATAAGATATGTACCCCTGTAATTGTGTCTTTTTTTCTTTCCATTGATTTGTTCTATATTGTGACTTTTCTTCTTTGCTTATAATGTCTTCAATAGAAAAATGACAAAAATAGAAACGCTTGCGTTAACTTCAAGCATAACAATTACAAAGGCGGACTCCATCGTGTTTCTGCAAATGTTTCTCTTGGATTTGCAATCCTATATTATGGTCAGAAAAGATGTTTAGAGCACATCTAAACCCGGCCCAGTCCCCGACGTAAGCATGACGTGGTAAAAGAATGGTTCTAGTCCAGCAAAGAGTTGGTGCCGCTTTGGGACCAGTTCTCCTGTCCGAGAACCGGTTCTTTGGCTGTCGAAACACAAAGAACTGGTTCGCGCGCAGGCACCGGCTCTGAACCGGCTCTCAAAATGCTTTGGTGGAAAAGGGGCTTCTGATTGAAAGTACTGTCACCATGCAAGGTTATTGCATGGTGAAAAAAGTAACGGACCAAGGACTGAGCCTTGTGGAACACCCTCTGCCACCACAGCTCACAACACAGGGTGTTCCACAAGGCTCAGTCCTTGGTCCGTTACTTTTTTTAATCTACATGCAGCCACTTGATATCATACATGATGTCATACACAAGTATTGACTTTCATTGTTAAGCTGATGACTTCCAAATCCATCTTACCACCTCCTCTGATATTTCATCTTTGCCTGACTCACTGTCGAAATCAAACTGGTTGCAATGAAGTTACACAATGAACTTACCAACCAACCAGCGATTGGCTCTTTTATTTAGAAGGCGGGACATATTGCACTTTGTCGTTTCTCCCATTCATAAGTAATAGGAGTGCAACATCTTTGTATACCTATAGTCTTTGGTTTAGTGGAGCACAAGGGCTGCGTCAGAAATCACATACTCTATGGAGTAGTAATTACTTCACGACCACTTAAAAAAAGTATGTTCTATATAGTATGAGAGTGTAATCTCTACATACTACATTCGCCATGCTGTCATTATCAAGTAATCTCCTGTGGCCTTATGGGATAGTAATATGCATATTTCAGAATCTCATGGTAGTAGGTCATCAGGGTACTTTTTGCCTACTTTTTTATGAGTATGTGAATTCGGACATACATATTTTGTCACATCCTGTTTTTCGCCTACTATATAGTAGGGAAGTATGCAATTTTGCCAGTGGCTTAAACATCTACAAAGAAGATAGGAAGGAATGCAGGTCAATATTTGGAAGACAGCTCCCTGTGGTGGCTGGATGAAAGAGTATCTGGATGTGGCCTTACAAACTAATGGTGGGTTATGCGCCACAAATTTTAATAATCTGTAAAACAGTTCACATTTGTATGTGCTTCATTAAATATTGAGCTGTTTTACTCAAAGATACCTTCAGTAGCCAGAAGAGATGAGCATTACCAATGTCATGTCATTACATATGACGACTTAAAACAAGAGAACGAATTAGTAAAACGTGCTGACATATAAATAAGTCGTTGGAACGGATTGCTAACTCGTCGCCACTATATACGGTCCATATTTTGTCATGTGCGGGGCTTTGTATTAGTACTTCAACTAGTACTTAAGATTTCATTTGCTAAGGAAATATTTGTAATTTGCAACTAGTATTATTTCAGCTTTATTTTAATTGACGGAAATTATTTTATGAATTTAAAGGAGTAGTTCACTTTAAAAAAAACTTACTCAACCCCATGTCATCCAAGATGTCCATGTCTTTCTTTCTTCAGTCGAAAAGAAATTAAGGTTTTTGATGAAAACATTCCAGCATTTTTGTCCACATAATGGGAACCAAACGGTTCAAGGTTCAAATGAGAGTTTCAGTGCAGCTTTAAAGGGCTTCATTCAACGAACGAAATGACTCGAAAAAAGATTCGTTCATTTTAATGAACAAGTTCGAACAGGAGATCACATCACAGAGCAAGGTGAGCATTTGTGCTAATAACACTTAACGTTTTAATTTATTTTTGAAATGACTGATCGTTTCGCTAGATAATACCCTTATCCATCGTCTGGTGTCGTTTAAAGCCCTTTGAAGCTGCACTGAAACTCTCATTTGGACCTTGAATCGTTTGGTGCCCAGTGAAGTCCATTATATGGAGAAAAATCCTGGAATGTTTTCATCAAAAACCTTTTTTTTTTAAGTGAACAACACAGTTTTTGGTGTCTTTTGGACCAAATTGGCTTTTATTGTGTGAGCATAAACAGTTGAAACATTCTTCAAAATACAGTATATTTTTTATATTCTATAGAAGACATAAAATCAAAAAGGTTGAAACGGCGTCAACAGTGGCAATGTAAAACAAAAATGGCGAAGAACTGCGGATTATTTATGGTTATCCACATTCCCAAGAACTTGTTTCCCGTATGATTACATAAACAGTTCCCCCCTCACTCTCACTTTCTTTGTTTCAGATTATATAAGCCGTGTTTTTTGTTGTTCATTTGGCTCTATCACAGTGGAGAGATAAAACTCTTGATAGCAACTGAAGGATAAAAACGGAGGGAGGAATCCCGATAAGCGTCGAGACGAAAACGAGGGGCTGCGTTGCTCGCCCTTCTTCCTAATTGAGTTGTTATTTGCATGCTGTGATCAGACAATAACAGCAATTAGTCTCACTCACTCAAACACACACACACATCAACTCGTTGCACTCTTATCAAAGGTCAGACCGTTTGATCTAGCATCCCAGACAAAACACACACCCCGTGCCAATCGACAAGCATTGCACACACAGACCGACACACCTCCCACCCAGACATGCAGACAAACACGGTCGCATTGACATGCTTCGTCCATCCACACTCATAATAGGAACACGTGCTCATACGCAACCCTTTTGTGCCCCTGCAGGAATGTTTTGGTTAGCAGGGAGAGTGTGTGCGTCTGAGTGCGTTTCCTCCCATATTATGATGATAAACATGTGAAAGTGTTTCAGATGCCAACTGGATGGAGCGCTGCCAGTCCCCCCACCCCGTCCTCTTTCCCTCCGAAGCGCTAATTTGTCTTCAAATTCCACATGAGAGCGACCGATGAATATTTCTGTGTGCTTTCATTGGGAACTCGCGGAGGAGAGGACATCGTGATGGATAGCTGAGAAGCTTTAGGTAAACAGGGCGAGGAGGATGTTTTTATACAGGACTATTAAACGAGAGATGATGAGCACATGATTAATTGCATGGTTGTTGGTGCCAGACGGGCCGGTCTGAGTGTTTCACAATCTGCGCAGTTACTGGGATTTTCACGCACAGCCATTTCTAGGGTTTACAAAGAATGGTGTGAAAAGGGAAAAATGAAAATGGGCGAAAATGCCTTGTTGATGCTAGAGGTCAGAGGAGAATGGGTCGACTGATTCAAGCTGATAGAAGAGCAACTTTGACTGAAATAACCACTCGTTACAACCGAGGTATGCAGCAAAGCATTTGTGAAGCCACAACACGCACAACCTTGAGGCGGATGGGCTACAACAGCAGAAGGCAACAGCTCATCTCCACTACAAATAGGAATTAGAGGCTACGATTCGCAAGAGCTCACCAAAATTGGACAGTTGAAGACTGGGAAAATGTTGCCTGGTCTGATGAGTCTCGATTTCAGATGGTAGAGTCGGAATTTGGCGTAAACAGAAAGAGAACATGGATCCATGATACCTTGTTCCCACTGTGCAGGCTGGTGGTGGTGGTGTAATGGTGTGGGGGATGTTCTCTTGGCACACTTTAGGCGCCTTAGTGCCAATTGGGCATCGTTTAAATGCCACGGCCTACCGGAGCATTGTTTCTGACCATGTCCATCCCTTTATGGCCACCATGTCCCCATCCTCTGATGGCTACTTCCAGCAGGATAATGCACCATGTCACAAAGCTCGAATCATTTCAAATTGGTTTCTTGAACATGACAATAAGTTCGCTGTACTCAAATGGCCCCCACAGTCACCAGATCTCAACCCAATAGAGCATCTTTGGGATGTGGTGGAACGGGAGCTTCGTGCCCTGGATGTGCATCCCACAAATCTCCATCTATCCTATCAATATGGGCCAATATTTCTAAAGAATGCTTTCAGCACCTTGTTGAATCAATGCCACGTACTGTAGAATTAAGGCATTTCTGAAGGGGGTCAAACACAGTATTAGTATGGTGTTCCTAATGATCCTTTAGGTGAGTGTAATTCTGATGTGATGATTTGATGCCCAAGAAACATTTATTATTACTATAAACTTTGAAAACAGTCGTGCTGCTTAATCTTTTGTGGAAGTCTTTGATGAATGGAACGTTAAACATTTATTTGCAATCGAAAACCTTTGTAACAATGTCAACTTTTTTGTGACAGTCTTTAATTTCGTGTTTGATCAATTTAGTGCATCCTTTCTGTATCAATTGTAATACCGTACATGTTTTACTTTTACTTAAAGTAAACATTTGGGTAGTCTACTTACCTAGTGAATCTAATAATTAGTTTTGGCAATGTAATGTCAATTGTAAAAACTCCAGTGAATCTAGTTATGCAAACAAGTTAAGTGTAGGTTCAGGTGAGAACACAAAGTGTTGGCCTATCCCATTTGGTTTATGGTTTGGCAAAGTATGCGGTATGATCAAATATTTGGCACCTGAATGAACACGGTTGACGCCGGAGCATGTTGGCGATCGGCTTATCGTAGATATGTGCTTGTAAAATTTTGAACAAGTCTTTGGCCTGAGGTCCTCTAAGTTGAATGTGTAACAATATGTCATTGTATTGTGAATTGTGTTTTTCTGGCCTCTGCCACAGGTTCACGGTAAATGTGTGTGTCGGCATCACACGGCTGGGGATCACTGTGAACGCTGTGATCGTCTTTACAACGACCGACCATGGCAACCAGCTAACGGTTTAACCGGAGAAGCTCAACCGTGTGCTAGTAAGTTCAGTTCATATGTGTGCTAGCCTAGAGTGGTGTGTTACTAATGTCAGGGTGTTGCTGTAACTTAGCTTTTTTGTGATTTGGTTACTCTCAATCTCAATATATAATTTTTTCTGATGTTTGGGGTCAGTAAGATTTTTCTTTTGTTTTTGAAAGAAGTCAATAAAAGTTTAATAAAAAAAAACATAAAAACAGTATTATTGTGAACTAACATTACAATTTAAAATAACTGTTTTCCATTGTAATATATTTTAAATGTCATTTATTTCTTTGATGGCAAAGCTGGATTTTTAGCATCATTACTGTAGTCTTCAGTGTCACATGATCCTTCAGAAATCATTCTAAATATGCATAACAGTTTAACAGTTTTTTTCTGCTTGTGGAAACCATGAAACTTTTTCTTTAGGATACTGTGATGAATGGAAAATTCAAAAGACTATATATATTTGTTTGAAATATAAATCTTTTGAAACATTATAAATGTATTTAATGTCACATTTGTTCTATTAAATACATCCTTGCTGAATAAAAGTATTATATTCAGTGTATATATATATATATATATATATATATTAGGGCTGTGCAAAAATTAATTGCGGTTAATCGCATCCAAAATAAAAGTCTGTGTTTACATAATATATTTGTGTGTGCTGTATATAATTATTTTGTATATATAAATTCCTATGCATGCATGTATATATTTAAGAATTATTTGCGCTTTAATTCTGTATATATATATATATATATATATATATATATATATATATATATATAAATACATAATCTTATATAAATATTTTGTGTATGAATAACACATTTTCTGAAATATATACATGCATGTGTGTGTATTTATATATACAAAATAATTATATACAGCACACACAAATATATTATGTAAACACAGACTTTTATTTTGGATACGATTAATCGATTAAATCACGATTAAATATATATATATATATATATATATATATATATATATATATATATATATATATATATAGCGACAATTTATAAGTATCTACATTTTCAAAACATGTATTTTAGAGTCCAGTAGTAGATATGGTAAGAATTTGAGGTGTTCTCAGAAATGTCCAATGGCTGTTGGTTGGTCAAAACATCTAACTAGTCCAATATTTCTACTACTACAAAATGAAAACTCAACCACTGGAGTTCAAAAGTTGCGCAATTCTTTAGGAAACCTGGCAACCCTAGTTTATATGTCTGAGTTGATTCATATCTGTAATAACCTTATATGTGTATTCTTGTGTCATTGTGTAGAGTGTAAATGTAACGGCCACGCTGAGAGTTGTCACTTTGACGAAAGGACATGGCTACGCTCGGGTCAGCGGAGTGGCGGTGTGTGTGACTGCCTTCACAACACCAGCGGCCGCCACTGCCAGCACTGCCAGAGCGGCTTCTACAGAGACCCCGAGAGACCCTTCACTGCCCCGGGCTCCTGCAGACGTAAGACACGATCATGGATCATTCAAATCCTTGTTCAGGCATTAATCGCTCAACATCGGCACATTTATATATTTTTAAAGGGATACTCCACTTTTTTTGGAAATAGGCTCATTTTACAACTCCCCCAGAGTTAAACAGTTGAGTTTTACCATTTTCAAATCCATCCAGATGATTTTCTGATATTTAGAAGAATATCAGTAACCAGACCGTTTCTGGTCTCATTGACTTCCATAGTAGGAAAAAAATATACTATGGAAGTCAATGAGACTGGAAACTGTCTGCTTACTGATATTCTTCTAAATATCAGAAAATCATCTGAATACACCTGAAAACGGTAAAACTCAACTCTTTAACTCTGGGGAGAGGTAAAATGAGCCTATTTCCAAAAAATTTTGATTATGACTGGCTGGAAGGTGTGTATTAAAACCATTTTTTTTTGCCTATGTAGTTCCAGTCAGTTTAATCACTGTTCTGTATTAATGCACTGCCTTCATTGAATCGCTCTCCGACACACTCGCACACAGATAAGAGATCGCGCTGCGCATATACAGACACATTCAGGAGCACAGAAACTTCTTTATGCTTTTGTAATGAAATAGCTAATAGCTTTATTTTATGAAATAGCTAATCGCTACATTATATTTCTCAGCAACGAGGGGGTGAGATTGCTGTTTTTGAAACAGCTTCTCTATTAGTCGAAAGATCATTCATACACTCATCTCTATCGATAGTTAATTCGAATAAATGTTTGAATTGATTCATTTAAATAAATCTTAATAATCTTGCCACACTACTTTATCTCTCTGCGTCTGATAGGAACTTTTTTTTTTATATCAAACTTAAATAATTCGTCAATGCATCATCAATCCTTCATTCAAAACATGTTTTTTTGGGTCTTCCCCTGATTCACTGTGGTAAGCCTATTAGAAGTGTTTATCTTTTAGACCCGTCGGGATGGTTTTCGTGGGAAATTCGCCGTGCGTGTCTCGTCATATCCGTAAATAGAGAGAAGTTGCTGTGGCTGCTTTGACGCGGAATGGTGAGGTTCGTTTCAGAAATGTTGACATGGAGCAGCTGAATCTCGAATCAATGGGAATCACCCGTTTTAGAAAAACTCAGAACAGAGGAGAGACTCTGCCGGCAAAAAGAGGCCGTGACAGAGCTCGTAATAAAACAAGAACCAACATTAGCTTGGATTTTTAGAGATGACAAGAACTGCCTGAGGGATTTGAAATGGTGTTTTTATTACTCAAGACAACAGGTGAGAAATGTATTTTATTGAACAGATAAACTGCCACATGTATCTTTCTAACAGAGTTCATTGTAAAGCATTATCTATTGCGAAGGGTCGTTTCCTTATGGTTGTTGTAGCGATGAAAATAAGTCATATGTACCCTTCCAGTCAAATATTATGCTGCAAACATCCATTACCGCTTTAACTTGCAAACGACCATGGTATAAGAGGGATAATCCACAGCTAGTTGTGCTTTAATCTATTTGAATGGACTCCATTTTGCGTCAGGTGGTTCTTTGTCTCCACGTCATGCATTAAAATCATTTAATGCACAGCTATTATATTATATACCCAATATTTCAACTTTAAGTGTGGAATACTTCTATAAAAACTGGATCCAATGTTCCTTTATAATTCGTTTTTATAAGTGTGTGAATGTGTGTTTTGTGTCTTAAACAAAGATGAAAGCCATTAATCTCAGATTTTGAAAAGCTGCTTAAAATGGCATGTGGAGTATCTGTGATTTCCCCACTGTTCCGTTCTTGATCTCCGTCTTTCTTCAACGTGTGCATGAAAATGCGAGTGAGTGTTTGAGTATACGTGTGCAATTTCAAGAACTCATGTCCAATATTGTAGCACACACACGCATGCACACATTGAGGGGATGTTTGGTATTGAATGTTGTTCATGCTCGGAATGCTAATGGCTCTTACGGCGAGTTGGGACATGTAGAATAACAAGAACGTTGATGGGATCTCGGCCATGTGTGTGTGTGCAGGAGTGTTAAATATGGAGGCAGACAGATTAATCATCTGATGACATCAGTCTCATAATTATTGAAGCGTCGGGATGGCTCTATATATTCGTTCTTATGATGCGAGTGCGCTTGTATTTGCCTCAGGAAACGCCACTAATAATATGCATATAATTTGCAACCTGATGTGTGTATTTTGTGTAACTTTCTTTCTTTCTGAATTGCAGGTTGCATGTGTAACCATGTTGGTTCCACAAGTTGTAACCCTGATGACGGAGACTGCATCTGTAAGCCAGGGGTGGCTGGGCCACGGTGTGACCAGTGCATGCTGGGATACTGGGGTTTCGATGAATATGGTTGCAAGCCCTGCCAGTGTGCTGGCGATTGTGACCCGTACACAGGAGACTGTATGATTAGGTGAATATGAACCTTTTTGATTATATAAGGCATCGATAATGCATATATTTGAACAAAAGTACAATAGCAATACACTATAATTCACATGTACATAATGCTGCATTTATTTGAGATCCACTGTGTGTGATTTTTAGTTAGGACGGCCTTATATCAGCCTCATGATTGTTAACTAAAGCTATTAAAACTATTACACAAATGATTTTGGTTACTGAAATAAAATACAATATTAGGATTAGATGAAAAACTTGTACCAAAATGACTAAAACTGAACTAAAAATAAATTAAAGCTATAAAGACATATTTAAAAAAAGAATAATAAAATATGAAATACGTTCATAAATAATAAATACTACAATGTTGTGTGTGTGTATATATATATATATATAATACTAAAATAACATTTAGACTCTTTTTGTAAGTCACATTTAACATTGTATGAATTTCATAGCATTAGATTACAAAAATATCAAACTATGTGATATTTTCACCAATTGTTTCCATAGTGATTGAAGATGGAAATTGAGTTTGTAGTAGCAGAAGACAATCAGAAAGTGCCCACATGTTTTTCTTCATTTTGATTTGTAAAATACATTTTGTTTTATCATTCAGCACATGGAAAGTGTGCTTGTGCTAACTTTACTTAACAAAATATCAAACCAACAGGCATTTATTTTGTCAAATCCAATGACTTTCATTTTTAAATGTGATTAGAGTTGGATGTTGGCTTTCCATGATTTATGGGAACTTTCTATACACCTAATGATATTTATACTGTACAAACTGTATATTTTATCCCCCTAAACCTATTTTCAAAAAAACTGGTTTTATTAAAATGTAAAAAAACAAGTAATTTTCCTCCTGGGGACCAAAAAAATGTCCCATAAAACCCAAAATCTTTGACTTTGTGGGGACATTTTGTGGTTTTACTGTATTATGATAAAAATGGCATTGATAGATAGTAACACAGATATATAACCATGCATGTGTGTGTGATTCTTGTCTAGGTCTGAATCAGATCCCAACAGCACGGCAGAAAATCATCTTTTTCGAACAGAAGAGCTTTTCTCCGCCCTTAGTCATCCAGGTATTAAATGGAAATCTCGGAGCTGATAACAGCGCCGTCTTGTTCCCATGAAAAGTTTATTGTCTCGTCTGGGTTGAAGGCATGTGCTGTTGTAAAGTCGTGCCTGTTTTGAAGTTGTCATAGCTGCAGAAAGAAACTGACAGCCAATACTTTAATTGCTGGGTATTTCTTTGCTTGACAGACAAATGTGTATGCAAACAGCAAGCCCTTGGAAACCGCAAAGTGTTCTGCAGCGTAAAATATGCTTATGGTAAGCAGCACATAAAACTGTCGCGGGACCAGCTCATGCCTGCTGTGCATGGAGTTGACGTGTGTTTGCTTGTGTGTTTGCAGCAGTGAAAGTGAGAGTGCTCGGTGCTCATGATAAGGGCTCTCATGCAGAAGTGGATGTTAAGGTTCTCAAGGTGTTGTGGGATAACTCGCGCCTCAGGCTCTCTCGGGGAAATCGAACACTTTATCCCGAGTCTTGGACGTCACGAGGCTGCACCTGCCCTGTACTTTTCCCAGGTTAGCAAACATGCTCACAGATTCACGGTTTGCCCATATGGAGATTTCCCACACAGTTTCTGTGTTGATTGTGGGGATAAATCCGTGGAATGGATTTAAATCTGATCAGATGCGGTAAATGGACCTTGGAGAACTGTGTTTAGTCAAGTCAAGACAAGTCAAATATATTTATATAGCGCTTTTCACAATACAGAGTGTATCAAAGCTGCTTCACAGTATCAATCAAGACAACATAACAGTTTAACTGGAGGTATTATCAAATCAAATGCATTGTGAATAAAAAATTAATTCTGTTGAAATCGGCAGCGTTTTCACCTGAACTCTGTGAGCGCAGATTCAGTGGATGCATAATTATTTAATATAATGCCATAACACACACAATCTGATAACTACGGTGACCGGGAAAGGCCTCGGGCCTCATTTCCAAGTTAGCATTGGTGTTATTTATCAGTGGAAACAGTTTTCAAAAATTTTCATCCAGTCCAGTTTTATCCACAAGTTTCTGAGGGGCGCTCCTGTAAAAAATAAAGTGGGTGAAACTTCCGGTGACGCGGCGGAAGTAGCATTCCAATGGTATTTTGTGTGTTAGTTAGCGAAGAGGCTAGCTGTTTTTCTGAGAATTATTTTACTATTTAAACACGCAAATCTTTATGAGAGATGTCGTTACGGAGCTCAGGGACAACATGTGCTGTTCGCGGTTGTATGTATAACCGGACTAAACTAATTTAGTGGCTTAAACGGGATTGTTTTGAACATAAGCTGAAAACGAAATCAGAGTGATCCTGCCAACGACTGTAGTTTCCATCACCTCCCAAAACACGACGAATCTTCCTGTGTAGCTACATTTGTTTACATTCTTAATATTCTATAAACTCTATCAGCATGTGTTTGGCTGTTCGCTACTGATGTTACACCTAATCTCAGGATCAAAGCCTGTGTTGACAGAATACCAAATGTGCCAGTTAATGTATTCAAGTAGCACATTCATTTATAATTTTGAATAAACTCCAAAGCACAATGACTAAGTGTGTATTTTTTATTTTAATTGTTTGTCAGCTCGCACAACTGTCTGTCACCATGCCTTGATGAGTATTGATGATTAATAATGTTATTATAATACTCCCAACCAACTACTGCGGAGGGTAAAGGTACTGTTATTTCACCCTTTTTAATTTCGTTGAGGTTGTGTTCCCACATCGTTAGCTAGTTTGGATCGCTATAACTTGAATGACTGTCAACTGTTGAATGAACGAGTGTCAAGCATGTCAAGTCGCGCTTTGTTTACTTCAAACCAGAAGACGCGCCCACTTTTGACGAAGGACTCATGGGGCGTAGGAAACTTGTGGATAGTTCGCTGGTGCTAGGATAGCGCGAGTCTGCTAGCCTGCCATTAAAAACAGTTTTAGCCACTCCACAGTACACCAAAAGCAAATAAATTATAACGCCAGACTATCGATGTAAATGTCAAAGAAGATATTTAGACAAAGAAGTGCAAGCAAAGAAGAACAAGCAGCCAAACAATAAACATAGCATGGCGGATAATAACTGAACAAGTGTTGATATAACGTTAGCAGTTTCAAAACCATGTGAATGAATGAGTTTTAAGTTCTGCCGTGAAGAGACAGCTCAGAGTTTCTGGAGAAGCATATTCCAGAGCTTAGGAGCCATAATACTGAATAACCATTTCACTTGATAACAAAGTAAGGTCATAAACACACGAACTCAAAGGTCTTCACGGCAACCCGTCAAAATAAAAGTTCGCAAATTGTGACAAATATATTACAGTTGTACAGTAGAAGCTATGTCTCAATGTAATAATAGTATTGTTTGAGGAAAAAAAGTTAATTTCAGATTATTAAAAGATCAGTTAAATGAATGTTTTATGCCTACATTTGATTGCCAAAGTCTTGTGTTCATATTTACGGTCATGTTTTTATGATAAACATCAGGGCATTTCCTTGATTTCCTTTCACCTGATGGTGAAGTGGTGGTGTCTCATTTCTTAGGGGAATATTTATTAGCCCTTACCACTCTGTTTCAAGGGGGAAGGAGTAGGCATAGGGGTATAAAAATTAAATTGGGATTGGGCCAAGGCTCATTTATCATTCTGTTAGCCTACAAAAATGCAGTCATAAAATCAATTGATTTTCGGGCATGATTGTCGAGTATTTACAAAATATATACTTTAAGTATAGTACTTTACCTAATTAAAGTTCTGTATATTATGTTAAAGATCTGTATGAAATGAGGGGAAAAATAAAGCAAATGCATAACTATGACTAAAAGTACATAACTAAAAATATAAAAAAAAATACTTAGTTTATGAATAATAGCAAATTAGTACATTTTTAACACTGCCTATTTTTTTTATACATGTTTGGTGATATTGGCCCAAAGTGATACTTTTGTAAACTGATCAGACTGTGTTTCCTCTTGCTTTAGGGGTGGAATATCTCGTAGTTGGACACGAGGATGTGAGAAAAGGCCGTCCCATGGTTAACATGAAGAGTATAGTGAAGCCATGGAGACCCAGCTTGAGCCAAAAAGTCCATCAGCTTCTGAAAACCAAATGTAGTTCAAAGACCTAGAGACTCCCATGCTACCTGTCAACTTACCCTTTATTTTATTAAGACCATTTTCACCCTCTCAATCAATCCTTTAAAACAGTGGTTCTCAACCGTTGCGACTTTTGTCCAAGACAAAATTTGGAGACCCTTCTTTCTAAGCTGATATGTACCTCTGGCACTTCTATTGTAATAAAATAAAAATAAATAATTTAATAACAGTTTAATGTTGTGAATATAATTGCATTTATACCGTTTTAAGACGTATTGGTAAGCTTGCTGAGACCCCTAGTGGGCCTCCTGGTTGAGAACCACTGCTTTAAAACAAGCTGTATGGATGTATTCGCTAGCTGTCAGGTGAATACTAGCACTGTACAAAGTGTATAAAAAATATGTATGTATGTGTATATATAAGATAATATATGTAGTTTTTTATTTCTATAACTAACCCTGTATATAGCATGCATTTTGTACACATAAAATACAATGCATATATGCAATATTATTGTCTTATGGTTACCTTTATCACGATTGGAAAAAAACGAGTTTTCTTACTTTTATTGATGTGCATTAATACATTTTAGTACCGAACATGACCACAAGGTGTCAGCCTATAATCATATTAATGAGTATGTTGAATCATATTTACAAGAACAAAATGAAACATGATTTACTGCTGATAGAAGAGATAGGCCAAGGCTGTCTTAAAAATCTTATTACAAAAATGATGTTGCTAAAGCTCACACTTAAAGGGATAAACTACCCCAAAATGTTGCCATTTTATTAACCCTCACGGTGTTCCAAACCTGTCCGAGTTTCTTTCCTCTGTTGAACACGAAAGAAGGTATTTTGAGGAATGTTGGCAACCGATGGCTACTGTCATGGTTAAACACATTCATCAAAATAGCTGCTTTTGTGTTCAATAGGAAAAATATATATATTTATACAGATTTAAAACAACTTGAGAGTGAGTAAATGATAGAATTTCCCTTTAATTTCATTATTACTTTGGAGGTGACATTTTTTTTACCACATAATTTATCTTGTGATTACAATATCAAAAAAATCCCAAAGATATACTTTCTAAATATAAAATATAAAACTTAAATATAGCTGCGAGCAGCGATTGCGGGCCCAAGCCGGTGGCACCGCAACCCCGATGCCTTTAGTTACCCAAAGGCACCGGGATGGTGGTACCGCCGGCTTTGGCCCTTTATCGCTGCTCACAGTTATATTTATATTTAATATAAAGCCGGTGGCACCGCCACCTTGGTGCCTTTAGGGTTATTCTGTACGACGTGTAAAAACGTAACCCCCGCTTTGACTATCAAAAAGAAGTGTATTGTAGAGCTTGCATCAATGCGGACTCGATGCGCTGTGCGCTGTAACTCCATGTGGCTTTAAGCGCATCATTCTCCACTCGGGATGCGCATAAGCGTTTTGTGCCACACTGTACTGAGCCTTTCATATCATAATGCAGTGACGCAATGACAGATTATTAATTGCCTTTCTTGTTCTGTTCCATCTATTATATGTTGATAATAGATAGGACAGAGCACTCAAAACCTCAAACAAAGCACTAAAAACTTAAGCTGTTTGCTGTGTAGTCTGAGAATGAGCTGTTTGATTTGCACCCTCTTCCTCTTCACTGTCCTCCATAAAAAACAGCTATTCAGGTCCATGTTGTTCTAGAAAGTTTGTATGTTGCTGCCTCAATTAACATCTCTGCTATACATTTAAAACATGGCTATATCTAAAATAATTTATCTTTTTGATTTTTGTTATCTTGTTTTTCATGAATATTTTACAACAATACAAAGAGCAATGTGTATTTTCCATTAATATAGTTTGTAATGGCTTTTTTTGTCATAGATTATAATCATATATTTTTTGGATTTGTTATTTATCTTTATAATGAAGTTGTCTGTATTAAGTAGATTGTGTTTAACACACACAAGAGTGATTTATTAGTTCAACACATAGTTATAGAAATTCTACTTTATCTAAAAAAAACCCTGCACTTTATACACACACACACACACACACACACACCACACACACATAAATACATGTAAATAAAAATCCCCCCCCCAAAAAAAAAACATCAAATGTGTTTTTAGTCAGAGTATTATTTTATACAGAAACAAATATTTGTAATTCAGATAAGAATGAAGTTAGTGTTTTAAAATCTTAAGGAAAACAAATATATTGAAATATAGCACATGAATTTTAAATTCATTCAACTTCAATTACAAATACAATCTTACTTTTATTTAAAGAAAACTATACATTTAAAAGATGGGGGTTATATGCCTATTTTGTCATTTAAAAATATTGTTATGCAAAATTGTTATGCAAAAAGACAAGGACTTAGAGACAAGGACTTGTAGGAAAAATCGCAGCCAGCCACACACACACACATAAACACAGACAACAGCCCTCCCCTCCCCACACAGACACACCACACACCACCCACCCACCCACCACACACACACACACACACACAGACACCACAGAGAGAGAGAGAGAGAGAGAGAGAATCGCAGGGGAAATAAATCCATTCAAACTACAATATCTGACTTTCTGTTGCTCAGAGCGAATTACTTTAAATTGGAAAGTTGATCGGCTTGACGAGAACAATATACGTGGTAAGTTTTGTAACTGTAGGTAAATTGAGCAAAGTTATAACACACTTTATGTGTCCTTTTTTAGTCATAAAATTCATTTCCTCGCTACGGCCAGACCGTTCGAGATAACAAAAATCCGTCCGGAATTGAGCATCCTCAATGTCTTGACTTCATGCACACCGAGTTTGGTTGTGATTGGTAAACACATGCGTTGTAATTTGATGTATTTCTCCTAGGACAATTATTCAAACAACCCATAATTCATAATTCATAAATAACTTCCATTTGAACTGTCATAAAACTTAGAGCACGAAAGTTGTTTGGCCTGATGTGATCTATAATTGTACCGAGTTTCATATTAATTCATGCAAGTGTGTTTGATTTATGGACAAATGTTCGAATCCCAGTCCAGGGGGCGCTGTCGAGCCGCCCTGCCACGCCCGGTTACCAGCTTTAGCCCGGCCCTGATGGCCATGGGTTCTGACCCGTGTGCAAAGTTTCAAGAGTTTTCGAGGATGTTAAGGCCCCCGAAAATGCCAGAGAAGTCGCACACAGCAAATAAAGGGTTAAAATTAATCTGACAGGCGCCCCTCCTCTCACTCACACAGAGGGACACTGAGAGACTGGCAAAATTCTGAGATTTTCTCTACATTCAAACAAACATATCTGACTTTCTGTGGGTCCTAGCTAATGAGTGTCAATTAGAAAGTTGTCCGGCTCGAGGAGTACAATATACATACCAATTTTGTAACTCTAGTTAAAACTAACAACCCCACTTTTGTCAAAAGGTGGCGCTACTGAGCCCTCACCACGCCCGTTTCTGAAACTTTGCACATGTCTACTGGCTAATAAATGTGTTGTGTCTGTCGAGTTTCATACAATTTGAAGCATGCTAAGGGTCTCAAAAGCATCCTAAAAGCATCCTAAAAGAAGGGTAAAGTTTGATGCGTCGCCACGGCAACAGTTTCAAAGATCCACAGCTATCGCGGATCACAGCTATATATATATATATATATATATATATATATATATATACTGTATATATACATATATATATGAAGCCAGTGGCACCGCCACCCTGGTGCCTTTAGGTTTATTGTGCACGACATGCAAAATGTAACCCTGCTTTGACTGATGCAAGCTCTACAGCACAGTTTATAGTAAGAAAGAATATAGTAAGAAAGAAAAGTAAGCTGTTACTCTGAGATGGTTTGGGAAACAAACATTCATCATGTCGCATTGGTTTTAGTTACTTGTCCTCGAACAGAGCCCTAATCTGTTTATATTTCAGTTACACATTCTACATTGATTAAAAAAGAAAAATCAAATGTGTTTTTAATTCATACAGAAATAAAATATTTATAATTCAGCTGAGAATAAAGTTAGTTCAAATTTTAAGAAAAACAAATATATGATCTGAAATATAGCACATTCATTTTTAAATTCATTCAGGTTCAATTACCAAAAATACAATCTTAATTTAATTTAAAGCAAATAATAAATCTAAAATATATGGGTTATATGCATATTTTGTAAAAAAAGAAAAAAAAAAGAAAGAAAGATATATATCCAAAAACACAAGGCCTTAAACTTTAACAAGGGTGCAACTCTTATCACTACAACAAACATAGTCACACACACAAGTCAAGTCACTTACATTTTATATGCAATATTGACTTTTTAGATGCAATATTGACTTTTTTCTGTTTCAGCAGAGAAAATAGTTAAACAAAGATCACAGCGACCCATCGCGCATCTCAAAGCAATGTGTTTTCTCATTACTGAATGATTCAGCATTTTGAATCCATGACTCGTTCATTAAGACGGTCATCTGGCGACACCTTATGGTGATTTAGGGTTATGTTTAAAAGTATCGTTCTTTACAGCGATTTTTAATTGACTCCTGTTAAACCAATCTCGTAACATTATTGTGTAACCGATTTAATTTGATCAGCCTTACCTAGGGTAACAGCCCTATAGTGTCTTATTATTCTAAATTATTGAATTTATTGATCAAATTTACTAATGAAAAATGAAGCATACATTTATTAAGACTAGGCTGCCCTGCAGATATTAGGCTACAATATGCAGATTTAAATATACCATTTATCAAATAATCTGTTTATTTTTAGGTTACACATTACATTGTTTAAAAAATAAAAATCAAATGTGACCCGCTCTGGCGAAATGAGTCGGAAGTTTCAACCTTCCATTTTAAGATATGGGCCGATTATGTGGAAAAACCATGAAATAAAAAAAAAAAAAAAAAAAAAAATTCAAAATTTCAAAGAACAGACATTCAAAAATAATCTCACAGGGTTTCGTAGTCGAGATAATTGAGTAAAGGTATTTAAATAACGATTAAAGTTGTCAAAGCTTTAAATTCGCTGAAATAAACATTGCTCTTCTCAACTCCCCTCGTCACCTCTGAGCATTTCCCGGGTATCCCCTGAAACGTTGAACTCACTGGAGGCTTCTAACCTAAACTGCGTGAGTATATTTATCTGCAAGAAGAATATAGCCTATGTAAGGCTGTAACGATCGCGACACTCAGATCCACGAACCTGTGTCGCGGTGTGAGAAGACAGAATCACGACACCGACACGTCCCTTCAACTCCCGAAGTTATCCTTCACGTCCAGACCCAATGCTAGCTACAACATCTTTAAATTACTATTAGTATTATTCGAAGTTAACATTATAAAATACGTAGACTTACACCACAAAACTTAAATTATTACTTTTTTTTTTTAAAATTGGGCAATTTCAGCATTATGGAGGAGATCCAATTCCCAGATAATTAAATATTTTAATAAATTGGCCTATGTGAACCACACTGCACAAACCAAAAGTAATACTCACCCGATGAAGAAGGGTTGACTCTCTCCAGAACATAAAATCTTTATTTTATTTTCCGTGTTCGCATTTATGAGGAAAAACAATCCGAACGTGACCGTTCTCTGGAAGCAGCACTAAAACTTTCACATAGCTTAAACATGCAAGCACAAAGCCTTTCTTTAAAGTAAATTTCGTTTTAAAATAATTATCTTAATTTAAATCAATGTTTCATCAACCAATTACTAGGATTTAATAATAAGAAATAAATTGCAGACAATAGGCTAGGCCTAATCACGACGCGGAGACGCGCGGCACGTGAACTGAAGCTTGTCTCATGAACCGAAAGTCAGCGTATAAGGTATCGTCACAGACATATATATTGAAATGTCTACTTTTAAACACAACCATTCAAAATGAAAGAAAACAGACTGCTCTCTGCTTATGTGGGCTAATCCGTATGAAAACTGAATTTCTCTCTGACTCCTCTTTAATCTTTCTGATTTTAGAACATTTTTGTAAAAGTGACTTTTTAATTATTTATTTCAAAAAAATTAAAAATAAGTTGAGTTTCAGCCTCGTTAAATTGCATTTATATATGTTAATCTATTTGGTCAAATTAAGCTATATAAAATAAATAGTTTATCCCTTAAAATGCTATGGATTTTGAAAGATATCAAAAAAAAAAAAAAAAAAAACGGGCAAAAAAACTTTAAAAGCGATTTTCTTAGGTTTTCAATTGGAAAAAAAAGGGCAGACGACCAGAATTCAAATCTGTATATCGTTACAACCATTCAAGGTATGACCAAGGTATCATTTGAAAGCTTACAGTGTCCTCTTTCCATTAATATCAAAATCTCAATTTTTAAATTTGGGTCACTGTGACTAATTTTGCTGGATCAGGTCGGTCACAAATGTGTTTTTTATTGTAGTATTATTTTATACAGAAATACATTATAATTATATATAATATACAAAATATAACCGTGGGCGCGATTAAACAGTGTTACAATAAAACTCAACATTGTGTTTTTTAAAAATAAATTCAAATAATACAAATCCCGAAATTGCGCTAATTTTAAAATTAAACTAAAACTCATGGCTGCACAAGCATTCATAACTGTGCGCGCCAACAGCGAGGAACCAGCAGAACAGAGTGAACGTTCATTCTGTTTAGTTACTTAATAGGAATTTATTTAAAATGCTTGCTCTACTCCACAACATTAATGTCTTGTGCGGATATCTGTATTTTGACTTTCGGTTTTAAGTAAGCGATTTAAAAGTTCCCGAGTCCCAGCGGAGTCACACGTTGATTAACCGGTGGGAATATACACAATAGGCCTACCTGATATTGAACACAAGAGGGCAGTATAGCACTACGTATGACTCAGATTATTTTTTCTTCTTCTGAATTTTAAAACCATTCTGGCTGTTTTTGAACGTAAACATAATTCTTAAATGAAAAAAGGGAAAAACTGGTTTAATTATAATATTTGTATAATTTAATTTAGAAACAAATGATGTATAATTACATTTTTAGAAGATATGAGGCTTTTAGTGTTTACTGTTTACTTTTTTGACATTACTTTAATCTTTTGCCAAAGTTGCACATGCCTACTGGCTAATAAATGTGATGTATCTGTCGAGCTATCTGTATCTATCTGTTTCAAGCAATTTCAAGCATGCTAAGAGTCCCAAAAGTATCAAAAAAGAATGTTAAAGTTTGATTTGTTGCCACAGCAACAGTATCAAAGATATCAAGAATCCATTCACAGGTCTACATCTGCTGTATTTTTACATTATACAGATGAAGTTTGAAGCAAATCGGTTAAAAATAAGAGGGTGATATCAAAGCATTTTGAAAGTGACACACTTCCTGCTGCCAGTTGGTGGCACTATAACTTTGACTCACAATAGTCACATCCATGTAATCAGCCTCTTACAGTGAACACACTGCTGAAGTTTCATCCAGATCAGTTAATGTATGCTGAAGTTATAACACACTTCCTGTTTCACGTTTCTCGCCATAATTTTGTTTCCTCGCCACGGCCAAACCGTTCGAGATATCAAAAATCCCCTCGCAAACTTTCATCCTCAATGCCTTGACTTCATGCTGACCGAGTTTCGTGCCGTGTGTTTGAATTTTCTAGGAGGAGTATTGCACATTCCATTGCGAGCGTTTTACAAACAAACCTCAATAGCCGACTTCCTGTTTGGCTGGGGTAAAAAGTAAGAGCGTGAGGTATAGATGAAACGATGAGATCAACATGTGTACCGAGTTTCATATTATTACATGCAAGCGTGTTTGATTTATGGACCAAGTGTTCGGACCCCGTTCCAGGGGGCGCTGTCTAGCCCCCCTGCCACACCCAGGTACCATCTTCAGCCCGGCTCTGATGGCTGTGGGATCTGACCTGTGTGCAAAGTTTCAAGAGTTTTCAAACCCGTTAAGGGCCCCAAAAGCCGCTAAGAGTCTCAAAATCATAAAAAAAAAGAATTTTAAAGTTTGATGCGTTGCCACGGCAACAGTATCAAAGATATCAAGAATCCATTCACAGGTCTTCATCTGCTATGTATTTACATTATACAGATTAAGTTTGAAGCACATCGGTTAAAAATAAAAGGGTGAGTTCAAAGCATTTTGAAAGTGACACACTTCCTGCTGCCAGTTGGTGGCGCTATAACTCTGACTCACAATAGTCACATCCATGTGATCGTCCTCTTACAGCAAACATACTGCTGAAGTTTCATCAAGATCAGTTAATGTATGCTGAAGTTATAACACACTTCCTGTTTCACGTTTCTCGCCATAATTTCGTTTCCTCGCCACGGCCAAACCGTTCGAGATATCAAAAATCCCCTCGCAAACTTTCATCGTCAATGCCTTGACTTCATGCTGACCGAGTTTCGTGCCGTGAGTTTGAATTCTCTAGGAGTAGTACTTCAAATTCCATTGCGAGTGTTTTATGAACAACCCTAAATAACCGACTTCCTGTTGGGCTGGGGTAAAAAGTAATAGTTTGAGGTATATATGAACGATGAGATCTATATGTGCACCGAGTTTCATATTATTACATGCAAGCGTGTTTGATTTATGGACCAAGTTTTCGGACCCCGTTCCAGGGGGCGCTGTCTAGCCCCCCTGCCACGCCCGGGTACCATCTTCAGCCCGGCCCTGATGGCCGCGGGTTCTGACCCGTGTGCTAAGTTTCAAGAGTTTTTGAGCATGTTAAGGGCCCCAAAAGTGCCCGAATAGTCGTATAAATAATAATAATAATAATAATAATAATAATAATCCTAAGGAAAACAATAGGGCCTTCGCCCTTTCAGGGCTTGGGCCCTAAATACATCTAAAACAGGGATCAGCCAACCCGTCGCGGTGGGCGGAGCTAACGCTGGTCCATGAGGCCCCGCCCCTCCCGCATCCGCATCTCTGTCAGACGCGCAGATTGACGTGCCGCGATGTCGCTTTCCGCAACGAAGACGCTGATGGAATTACATTCAAACTAAAGAAGGAGAAAATGTCCGAAGTACGAAAATTCACAAAAAGGTTGAGCAAGCCTGGGACGGCTGCGGAGCTCAGACAAAGTGTGTCGGAGGCGGTGAGGACGTCCATTGCTGTGGTTAGTAACTCAAGAGACTAGTCTCTCTCTCTCTGTGGGCTGTGTCTCAAAACGTAGTGAGCTTCCTATGTAGGCGGCGTTTTGGACATCACAGGCGCGTGCATGGCAGGCAGTTCACTAGAGTGTAAAACAGTCCTAGTTTATTATTTAACTTCGTATATGCAGATAAGCTGTCAGGTATCGCTTATAGTCGTTTTTTTGTGTGCAAACGGCGTTTGTAATTATTATTGAAACACGTGCCAGACTGCTGAGGCAAGAAGCATTACGTCTCGTGCCTTCAGGGCAATAACCGCACCGCAGCACAGCTTCAACATCTGTCTAACACATCACATAGACGTTAGCGCCATGTACATACTGAGATATGCATTGATTTAAATGAGAAAATAGGGTTGTACTTCCACGAAAAGGCCGGTATAGGTGATCCTGACTGGAACCACATGGATCATCCTTATGCCTTTGTGTAAAAAAGAGACATGTGCTCATGCACCAGTCCAAGAATGGTCCATGCTCTCTTTTTCTTTACAAATTGAGAAATAAATGATCAGATGTTGAGAACAGATATGTGTCACTAATGTTTTTCTAGGATATAGATTGCTGCACCATTCATTTGAGGCATCAGCTATGCTCAGAAATGATATGTTCAGCCAGACACATGTCACGAGACTGTGATTTTTCCACCAGAGCTGTATGAGCCTATCATGTCATCATTGTCAGTTTGATTGTGGTTTCCAGGGAGACAGACAACAAATGGCACTCTATGGAGATTGCAAAGCCCTTGTGTTTCCCATGAGAATACCCTCCGGCTGCTCAGCGGTGCTTCCTGTGTCCTCTGCATGTGCTGAATAAAGTGTTTGTTTCATCTTTCCCCTTTTTGTGCCTCTTTTGCACACTGCATCTGAACAAATTCAACCAAAACGATGACACAAGAAGTGAAAGAAGTGATTATCGCCGCTCATTGTTCCACGTAAAACCCAATGGAATTGATAACAGAGCAGAGTTTTATTTTTGTTGACGTATTTCTCATCGGAAGTTTCCTTATTTCTTCCATTATTTTCTGAAATAGGGAATATGTTGTTAGTTATGTATGTCAGAGCCGTGATCATGATTACTCGTTTCAGGTCGTACAAGGGGGCGGGGCATTGTAATTCAAGAGAGAGTTCGATTGGACAAAAATCTGTAGTGCAGTTGCACTGTTTTACAGAAAGAGAATGACTAGGCTACATTTTATGCCTAGATTACATGATTTTAGCCTGATTTTGGCATGATCCATTTGACGTAGGGTGTCGTGGGGATTCGTAAACGACAACGGGCGTCGGGACGCAAGATTCGATCGTATCATCTCGTATAGTGTGTCATAGTGGGCGACAACCTACGATGCTTCACGACAAAAAGACTAGCATGTTTATTTTTTTAACGGTTGTCCACGACGGTTCCGTCACATGTATGAGGTTGACCAATAGGAGCACAGAATCTTTTCTGTACACAACTTTCAAAAATGGCGAAACCAAAGAGAGACGATGGTGCTAACGTTAAAACTAACAGTAAAAATATATAAGAAAACAATATTTTACCTCAAGTTCTCTTTGGAGGATTGACAGCCCAGAGCAATCCAGGAACGTGTCCATTGTCGGGTTTTCTTTCTTTTTTAACTTTTTTTCTGAACACAGGACAGCCAATACAACACTCACCGCTTCATCCATTGTTTGTTTACGTTCGTTTCCGGAAGTCACTCTACTAGTTTCGCCTTCTCGATGACATCACGCGCACCTTTAAAGACGGCATGTGATGACTGGTCAGGAAGCAACGTGTAGTCTGACGACACAACAAGATTTTAGGAGTCAAAATCGTGTAATCTGACACAGTGACTATCGTAACAGACAAAAAAATCGTGATGTGTAAAAAAAAAAAAATGTGTATGAGTAACACTTTGGAGAACACTAGCAAATAGAGTGACATATTTCGGTAGGTCAACCTGAAAGTTTGCATCGCCCTGCCTTGAAAGAAGCCAATAGGATTTTCCTTTGACTTTTTGATAAAAGCGTAAATGCAATCGACAGAAGTCAAAAGCTAGCCTGACTTCGTCATACTCATATTCTAGTGAGAATATGAGTCTGAAACTCCTCCGTAGGGTTTTGATTATGAGGCGTGTCGTAACCGAACTAGGAGAAAAAAACCCCTCTGCACTCAATTGGATAGTCGGTAGACCTACAACCAATCAGAGCAACTCAAGTCAACTCCTTTGCATAGCGCAGTTTTCAACTACAGAACTTACTTATTTTAGAAATTAAATAACGAGTGTTGCTTCTTTTACTTACTTCTCCATGAGTGCGGCCAAAGGAGAAACCACAGCGACCGCTGGCTTTTCATTACGTCCCATCTTCTTAGCGACCGTCAGAGCCAGCTGATAAGTTACACTTTTCCCGAATCATGTTGGAAGGACGCCAAAAATATCTTTCCGATCGACAAATGCCTTGATTGCAGTTCTCTGTTTGTCTATTAAAATGAATGCGCTGTCGATTTATTTTACAAAAGACGCGACAGTGGAATCTATACATCTCAATTCTCCAGCTGCAGTCATCTCTGAGGGAAAACAGTTAGCGCTCTTTGATAACGTGATGATTACGTCCCTGCAGATCATCTGTCCATCATCGTATAAAGCCCGCCCTGGCAATTTGATTGGCCCGAACGTTTCTTGTCTGATCATAATTACTCCTCAATGGATCGAGTCCAGACCGAACTTCCCGACCAAAAAATGTTGTGGGCGGAGTTCGGGCTGGCATCCAGGCTAGTCAAAAGCTAAACGTAGGCTGTTAACAAACTACACCACTGTCGCATGACTTCAACATCACCATCACTAAGCTTCCGATGACTCTTCAGTCTATGCTTAAAAACATTTTCCCTGAAAATTTGAGTTAAAATAGTTTGCAAGAGTGCGATTATAAACACGAGGCTGTGAAAGCAAACTAGTGTGTAGATGAGTTTACCTTTGACAAGTAAAAGCTTTTAAAAAAATCACAATAAGAGAGTATTACTGGTGTGTTTTATATGGTGGAATAAAACGTGAAAATATCTTGAGCTCGTGTTCCCCTTCAAGCATTTACCCCAAAAAACCCATCGATGGTTCCAGAAGTGAAGTTTACACACATCAGCTGTTGTCTGCCGAGCCAAAGCCTCACATCTGGAGGGTACATTAACCACCCAGAACACGGGCTCAAGGCAGATTCACGTCGCCCACTGTGTCGCCCTTTACATTTGCTTTTTGAGTTCTTGCATACGGAAATAACATGACTGAAACGCGCGTGGCGCCAACGCCCATGAGCTCGTGAGCGGTAAACTGGCTCATATTTCCTTTTACCTCAGCCTGTGGTTTGATGGCCTGTGATTCTTCTTCTTCAGTTCCTCTATGACCTCAACAGGGTTGACGTTGAAAGCCATTTTTTAAGTGATCTGAGGCCATGTGGTTGTTTTTGCAGAGGTTGGGCTATTTTTGGCATTAAGAAGCTAGTCCTACCACGATAAGGTAGCTTAACCTTGGCCCTGGGAATGCAACGCTTGGCTTGCAGCGAGAGACAGGACTTGGATTGGGGAATATGCAAGCATTCCCATTGGGGAAGTTGGTTGGAAGGGCCGTTTAGAGAGAGTGAAGTTTAGACTTTGCTGTAACTCATGCTCTGTTGCAGTAGCAGCTGGACTGGCTGTGGTTTTTTGCCTCTATGTGGGATGACACATGACAGGAAGTTGCTGCTCATACACACACATTGGTTGTCAGCTCTTGTGTATGTGCTTTAGAAACACAGGAAGCATTTATGTGTATTATAAGAGATTGTATTTGATGCATGGCTGTTTTTGTCTTTATTTGTGCTGTTGTTTCTCAAGCTAGACAATTAATGAAAGCAAAACATAGTATAGTGCAATTTAAATATACACTTCTGTTCAAAAGTTCAATAGGCCTACTTTTATTTAGCAAGGTTGCATTACATGGATTAGAAGTGACAGTTATGACTTTAAATGTTTATGTTTTTAATAAATGCTGTTTTCAAGTTTCAAAGAATTCTGAACTTACCACAAAATGATTATGAATATAATGATTTCAACATTGATTATATTAATAAGTTTGAATGATTTCTGAAGGAACATGTGACTGGAGGCTCGAGTAATGATGCTGCCATAAATAAATTACTTTTTAAAATATGTTCAAATAGAAAACAGTTATTTATTTTGTAATAAAATGCGGAGATGTCAGATGGCCCAGTCTGTTGTGATTGGTCTACTCTGCTCTGATTGGTCAGATGGCCCAGTCTGTTGTGATTGGTCTACTCTGCTCTAATTGGTCAGATGGCCCAGTCTGTTGTGATTGGTCTACTCTGCTCTGATTGGTCAGATGGCCCAGTCTGTTGTGATTGGTCTACTCTGCTCTAATTGGTCAGATGGCCCAGTCTGTTGTGATTGGTCTACTCTGCTCTGATTGGTCAGATGGCCCAGTCTGTTCTGATTGGTCTACTCTGCTCTGATTGGTCAGATGGTCAAGTCTGTTGTGATTGGTCTATTCTGCTCTGATTGGTCAGATGGCCCAGTCTGTTGTGATTGGTCAACTCTGCTCTGATTGGTCAGATGGCCCAGTCTGTTGTGATTGGTCTACTCTGCTCTGATTGGTCAGATGGCCCAGTCTGTTCTGATTGGTCTACTCTGCTCTGATTGGTCAGATGGTCAAGTCTGTTGTGATTGGTCTATTCTGCTCTGATTGGTCAGATGGCCCAGTCTGTTGTGATTGGTCTATTCTGCTCTGATTGGTCAGATGGCCCAGTCTGTTGTGATTGGTCTACTCTGCTCTGATTGGTCAGACCCCCCAGTCTGTTGTGATTGGTCTACTCTGCTCTGATTGGTCAGATGGCCCAGTCTGTTGTAATTGGTCTACTCTGTTCTGATTGGTCAGATGGCCCAGTCTGTTGTGATTGGTCTACTCTGATCTGATTGGTCAGATGGCCCAGTCTGTTGTGATTGGTTTACTCTGCTCTTATTGGTCAGATGGCCCAGTCTGTTGTGATTCGTCTACTCTGCTCTGATTGGTCAGATAGCCCAGTCTGTTGTGATTGGTTTACTGCTTGCAACGCGTGTCGGAAACCAAACGCTCATTACTATATCTGAATCCCAGCTCCGGATCTTCTTCAGCACTTCATCATACACAGTGAAACGAACAATGGCATAATTTTTTTCTGTATAAATTTTAGCGCGAGTCCTAGTCCTTTCGAAGTGCATCAGAGAGGATTTTCTGATCTGAAAACACGAACCAAACTCCTTCAGGCCTCATCAGCTACAACTACAGTGTTTGAAGGTTGACGTTGTTCGCCGAAGACCATAGACTGGCATTATGCAAATTTGTTACATTATTACATAGGTTTGTATCAGAAAGTGACACTGGAATTGCTGACGACTCGTTTCAACAGTTCAGAATCTATTCTTTTTTTTTAGGAGACAGTAACTATATTTGATGTGCACATTGATCTGAAAACATTTGCAGACCTTTTACATTCACAAACAGCAATAATACACACTGCATGAAAGGTAATATTTGAAAAAGCATAATAAGGGGCACTTTCAGCATTTTCTGGCTGCAGTAGCGTCCGTCCAAGCTTGCAGAAGTTTCCACAAGGTGATTTCTAAAAAGGATTAGTTGAAATTGCTTTAATTTGGACTCGTTTTCCTTTATTACTTTGATTTCAGTTGAAATGTTCACAAAAGACCCGTGTGATTATGGGTTTAAGCCACACTGATCCTGTCTGAACTGCTTGAAACATGAGAAACAATGAGCAGCTTTAACCAGCTCTGAACTTTGAACAGTAGAGTTTTTATCTAAACCCCAAGTACTGTAGTTATGAAACTGTAACTTCCTCTTTATATCTCTGAAATTTTATATCTCTGTAGAAACTTTAAAGGGGACCTATTATGCAAAATTCACTTTGGACATAAATGTGTGTTGGCAGTGTGTGTACACAACCACCCTATACTATATAGTGATAAAAATCCACTCACTCATTTTTTTTTTTGTTGAATCCCCATAAATCATAAGCAGTGTCTCCCACGACCTATTTTCAGCCATGGGGCTGGTGTGATGTCATAACAGCCACAGGCCCCGCCCACAAATGTTGACAGACACTGTCATTTTAACATAGCACCGCCCTGATTGAGTTGCACACAAGCGTTGTTGGTGTTGTGTTGTGTGGCTGGATGTATTAATCCACATAGCTCTCTCTATTTACTCCCAAAATCTGAGCCAGCCGCTGGAAATTTAGTTTTGCTTCCTCAATTCGTTTATGTACTTAAGGACTTATACTGTGTTTACTCAGCTCTTACAGTGATTTTATGGAGTACAACTGATGCTTCATCTTTTGTGTGATGTACAATGAACTTTATTAAACTCATCAGTATATTTTTGGCCATCATTCAGACAGGGTCCGCTACAGTAATAGTGGATACAAGCAGATAACAAATACGTTAACCGTAATTAAACTGAACTATACCTGTTTCATCTCCATACAGCATATAGTCTCTGACTGTCCGACTGAGGGTCGAAATGAACACTGTTAATGAGAGTTTCTGTTTTGATATTATCATCCGTCTGTGAGATGAGATTGTTCTGACACGGAGCGCGAGCTTTTGAGGCTCCGCCCCCTGTGCCAGCAGCTCATTTGCATTTAAAGGGCACACACTAAAACGGTGTGTTTTTCTCAGCCTCAAAATTGCGTATTTTGAGCAAAAACGTCACATACAAACTCTAGGGACATCAGAGACTTATTTTACATTTTGTTTAATAGGTCCCCTTTAACAGAAGGGTTGGCGTCAAGTTAACTGAAATGTCATCTCTTTTGCAGTTCCCATTTGGTACTGTGCAACATGGGTTAAAGTGGTGAGATGCTTGAAATGAATCATTTGAATATTTAAATGAAATGTTTTGGTCTGTTTTGGTGGAAACGCTCTCTCTTCTGTGGACGATGCTCTTTGATTGACTATCAGACCATGACACGGGCATGTCAGCTGAGTCAGTAGTGTGTGTTTAAGCTTTAACACATGATTCTCATTTAGAAGGAGGCTGAAAAGAAAGGGAAAGTTTTTTAGAGAAAGCTTAAAAAGTTAGAAATCGGAAGTCCTGGAACTGATTTATTTTGTGTGGAAAGGGTGTAGAGAGGCAGTAAGCTGTGTCTGCTATATTCACAGCTTTCAAATCACTCTAACAAGTACAAAAGATTAAACTGTTGAGATTCACTAATCCACATCGTGTGTGTTTGCAGGAGCAGCCGAAGATCATCGAGCCGC